ATTAATGAACTTCTCAGGATATCCATTCTTAAATAAAATATCCTTCAGAGCTTTTATTCCACGCTCATTTGTATTGTGAGAACAAATTTAACGTGCTCTAGTGAACAGTGCTCTGACTAAGTTCTTTTTATACTGGATTTAAACAAAGTTCTTGAAATGCATCTACCGTTCTGTTCATGAAGACTTTCTAAATACAGATCTTTCGATTGTGCCATCAGTCATTTTCTCTAGAAAAACGTCTAGGAATTTAATGGTATCGTTTTCCTCGTGTTCTGTTGTGAAATTGAAATTCGGATGGCATGAGTTGAATTTTATCAACATGTCTTTAGCTTTTGATCTGCTTCCACAGACAATAAAAATGTCATCGATATATCTTAGGTATACATCCGTTTCTTGTATATATTGCTGTAAGGTAACGGCTTCTAGGCCTGACAAGAATAAGTCTGCAAAAAGTGGTCCCAAGGGGCTTCCCATTGCGACACCATCAACTTGACAGAATAGACACCCGTCGAATTAGAATTAGACATTCTTAGTACATAAAAGTAACAATTTCCTCACTTCCGATGTTGGAATGGATATGTCTTCAGCTTGTCTACATATAAAGTCAATAGTCTCAACGACTGGCACATTTGTGAAGAGGGAGGTAACATGGAAAGAGACCAATTGCTTATCAGATACATTGAAATCTTTAATTTGCTTGACAAACTGAAATGAATCAGAAACTATATACGTTCCGAAACGTTTTCGCAAGGGCTGCAACAATTCACATAGCCACTGTGCTAATTTATGGTATAGTGAATTTATCATTGAGAGTATAGGTCTTAACAGCGCTCCTGGTTTGTGTACTTTAACGCGTCCGTATAATTTTGGGATTTGTGACTCAATCGGTTCGATATTCCTATATTTCCTATTTACTTTAACTTCACTCCTTTATTAAACAACCGGAAATTGTTTTTCTAGTGTTCGTTCCTAGGGATTTTGATCCCTAGTGGGATTATGCGTGTGTACTGTTGAAGAGTACCAGGCAGGGACGGAACAGTTGTCCAGTACTCCCTGGTTTACTAACGTTCTCTAGGTGAAGTTATTTCTTGATTAACCTCGAACTCGGAAATTACTTCACCCTTCTTTTCGACTTCACCTAATATCCGATAACAAGATTACTGAAAGGGGAGACAGTAAAGTCTGGAAACCAGCCGTTGAGGTACCTCTCTGTTCCATTCACTCCAAGCAGTTACAAATAACTTGTTTTTCATTAGCTTCATTGAATAAACCATCAAATTTACTGAGTGTTTAATTCCTATTTTAATTAACAGAAGTAAAAGTAAACTAACTCGTCATCTTGTTTATGTGAATAGTATACAACATGTGGAGAGTACAGATGAAAGCCTTTAATTAGTCTGTTATAATTAAACATATACTTATTTCTGTGTAATAATAATAACTTACAATTTTCAATTATGTAGGTTTATTTCAACTTTAATTATATTTAGAATTAAGTGGAAAGTCGTTGAATGAAAATTGATACACATAAGTATACGCAAATCCAAACAAAAACAGTTCTGATAGTATCCAGCACATACACAAAACATATAATTAAATATGGTTGTTTAAATAACCGTATATAATTATCTGTCTAATAAAAAGCGCAGAAAGAGTACTCAAGGTGGTAAAATGACACATTTAAAAACAAATACATAGTGAAAGAGGATGAGGAAGGAATAAGAGCTACACTCAATTTACATTGTTATGTTTGTTGAGTATTATTATTATTATTATTATTCATACATTTGGTTCCCTTGATAAATTTCGATAAAGATATGGAGACGAAATTCGCAGTATAAAATGATATCATTCTATTTCACAGGTTCTCATCAGCTGCACACTACCTGAAATTACAATGGTTTTATAGATGGTAATAACATACTTTAATGTTTGACTGGTGGTAAAGAAGAGATACTATAAAATTGACGAATCCAAAATGAAGGCACTACAACTTTTAGTTTAAGTTTTCATCATCAACTTATACGCTTTTAAAGTTGAAAAGAGGGGGAGGGGTAAGACAGAAAACAGAAAAATTGATTAACAGAACAGTGTTAGCTTGTAGGTTCACATAGAAACTCAAAAAACAAAAGCGGTTACAGTTTATGAGATTAAGATTTGTTCAGTGAGTTGAGATCACTGAATTAGATGACTAATGAAAATCAAAATTCTGTTACCAAGGGATTGAGAGGTTAATCACACTCTCTTTCTGTATGCATAAGTCTGGTTTAAGTCTTTTGATTGCGATCGCTTCGGCAAATCGTAGTAAATTTGCTGTCCTTTGTCTATTTAATATTTTGAAGAACTTAGAAATCTCTACGAGATGTTCGATATCAACAATATGTCTGGTAATTGCACTCTGGGAATATCTGCTTCCTTATTATCATCTATAAAACCATTGTAATTTCAGGTAGTCTGCAGCTGATGAGAACCTGTGAAATAGAATGATATCATTTTATACTGCAAATTTCGTCTTCCTTTCTTTATCGAAAATTATTATTATTATTCATTAAACTTGATATTCTTGCGTCTGGGTCACAACGAGAGAGCGTTCACCTACTAGGCATATGATTCAGGGTTCAGTCGCAAACTGATGCACTCCTTCACCTCGCTAAGCCGGTAGTAAGACTGATAAAGAGGGAACGTTTGGCAGGAGTCTAGGAAACCCATCCCGTAAAAAAAACCCACTGCTATCGGAACTTTAAGCCTTCAGCTTGAAGCCCTATGTTCCACTAGGAACGTAAAGGAATAAAAAACGACACCCACTTGATATTCCCTTGTTAAAGAAAGATGCCTTCAAAGTGAATTTTTCAAAGTTCTTATATGAATCTGTGACTGTTGCAATCCACTAAATTAACATGGAATTATCGAAATGAAATACTTTCTGCATATTTAGTACTTAATCAGTACAACCAAAGAGTATTAGATGGTTGGAGGCAATTGGCAGGAAGCCGTGGACCTAGGTTTCGTGCTAATTGGCACTCGTCAGCAAGGCGTATCTGCAACCTTGAAAGAACTCATGTCCCTTCTGAGTCTGACTCATAGAATTCAGTCTACACGAATCAAAGGACTAGACGCATCACTAGTTACTAGGGTCAAATCAAAACAACCAAACAGTAATAAATATTTGCAAAGTATAGCAATGGATATACGCGTTCATTACCTCATTGTCAGAATAGATAAAGTCATGTATTGTCAATATCATGAAGGAAAGTGATGAAGAGGCGAAATTTCAACGATTCACGAAAATGGAAAGAAACTAACAATAGGAACAACTTGTGAAGATATACAGAATTGAAAAGGTAAAATAATCATCAGTCTCATGGTAGTATTCCATACGGGCACAGCATTCCAAAATCAGAAATTGTATTCCCAAACATCGAAAGCCACAATGAAGATAACAAACAGACTACAACAGCAGTGTACTAGAAATAAACCCACAAAATTACCAAATAATTACCGCATATAATAGTGCATGCTGACAGAAGTTATATTATATAATACCTACACAAGTAGACTGAAAATACAGCTGTGAGAAGTGGTTTAAGTAAAACGATGGATAGCATTTTTAAATCAGTCTGGGCACTCAACTGAGAAATTCCATTTTCCTACTATTTTTGTGACAGACTGACGGAGGCCAATGTAAGTCGAAATCGAATGAATACGGAGCAAAGTAGTAGCTGGCTACCATATGTGAACGTGAATAATGGCCGTTTCCCTTTCTTAGATACACTTGTGACCGACCAACATTATGGATCAGTTCGGAGATGTATCAACATGGAAGACGATGAGGGCGAAACGGGACCTGTTTGAAGACAACTTTCGTCCACTCTTTGATGAGAAGGTAGTGGTAGTAGTAGTAGAGTAGTTTAATATTTCTTCTCCCCCGATTGAATGCATATGTATGATGGGATAATACAAGAGATTTGGTATTGAAATATTTTTTCATATGTAGGCTAAACACACTACATTTATACATTTTTGAACACTTTGAATGTCGGCTAGGTGGTCGGATTATGTACTGTTCTGATTACTTGTCGATTTTTACCGTAGGTCAATGTTGTTTTCAATTCTGTCTGTTTCCTATCAATCATCGTTTATTTATCAATCATAAATCTTGTCAGTAGGACAAGCTGGATATGCACTGAGTATGATTTGGAGGAAGAGATTCAAAATCTCATTAAAATTTCATCAGATAATTATTATCTGCAAAAGTGATTAAAACAGTGTAGAAACGCCGAAGGAACACCATCCGACCAGTCAGTAAATCTGTAACATATATATATATATATTCTTATGGTTCACCAGTCGTTCTCAATATCAGACCATCAAGTAAAGACTTGAAGCAACACTCCATTGGACACACTATTCAGCTGAGCTTATACTCATAGAGAAAATGATTGAAGTAAATTAGATTTCAGTGTATGGTCGTTCTCAAGGGACTACGAGTCCATTATCTACCAAAGTAAACAAAGCATGCATGATTCAACCACATGATAAACAATTATGTTGAGTTGTGTCAGTGACATGATGATTCAGACTTGGTATCATTGTAGATGTCGATGTTAACTTCTATCACTCAAGAGTATATATTATGCTTCATGGTACATGACATACACAGAGAGATAGATCTATGTCAATAGCTAATTTCATGCAATTAGCTGTATTGTAACAGATAGATTTGATTGTTCTGTCGGTCGGCTTTCATCTCATAAACTTTTTCAAAAGTATAAATTGCGACTTACAAAGATTTCATTGAGATCAATTATTTGACAGCTGAGATTGATACGTGTCACTGTGAGTTAACTACAGTCTATGGGGAAAATCGTTTTCATTTCCATATATAGTATCTTTATGTTGATTCGCCGAATGTCGTAGACGGTTCATTGTACATAAATTGGAGCTGAACGGGTATAAATGATAGCACTGTGATCAAACAATTTTAAAAGCATCACTTTTATATGAAGGATAAGATGACTTCTCCTCTCAGACTGACACGCTTTCCATTTAATATGTTAATCATCAGAAGTGTTGTAATACTGATATTTACTTGTGATAATGCAGTGTCAGGTGCGGAATTTTTGGGATTCTCTTGGCATTACTCAATATTCACAGGTTAGTTTCACAGTTGTTTCCGCATTAACGGCTTATATCATATTTATATGTGTCTGAGTGAATATCAACTTCCTGGTTGAATATTCGTAGTTCAGGTTAGTGTGACTGAAATGTTGATTTATTTTTTTTCACGTTCGCTAGTGAAATATAGTGCTTCAAGCTGGTCACAGTGTTTATTTTACAGGATGTGGTTGCTAGCCTCATGCCCACCCTTTCCCCTCTACCAGCATTATATCTGGCTGAGCGAGGTAAAGAATTGCATCAGTGGCCGGGGATCGAACCCCGGACCATGTGCATGGTTGGCGGGAGTTCTAACCGCTGTACCACCGGCGCACACAAAATGTTTACACTGTATTGCTATATTCTTGTGTTTTGAGTGGATGATTAGGCTTCAACAACACATCTCCCTCCATCTCACTCTGTTTCATTGGAGTCCCTGTCAGCCGCCTTTACGACTCTCCATTCACTCTCATTTCTTCTTTCTGTACACTATCTTCTACATATCCTCCTCGGATATGCACTTCGACATTTCCTATTCAGCTCCCAATGTCAGGGTGGTGTTTGTTGTGTGACGTCTTACAACGGTTTCTCAGCATATATTCAATCCATCTCCCTTGGCTCCATCGTACTGGTTGAGGAGTAGGTTGTTGGTTGGTTGTTTTGTTGGTTGCCTACGAGAGTTCCTCCTTGATTATCCTTTGTAGCCATCTCTACGCCATGGAGTATTAAGGCGTTATTAGATGACTCCTTGTTGTTACTGAGATCTCAATACACAACAGTAATTTCTCGTGTGGTTTTGAAACTAGCCGATTGTTGGTCATTCAGTTCTCTGTAGAATACTTATTCATCACTTCAAATCCCTCTGATCATAAATGACTCTTTGTAACTGTTGGAATTCACCGTGTCGGATTTAAGGAGAAGCGCCTACCCATGACCCTGGGTGACCACAACGATGAACGAGGAATTCACAGTCAGTGGATTTCAATGTATGAGCTAGATAATAAAATGTTCGCTTCTCAGCCAGTCTGTTCCATGTTCAACCTCTCCTTCTCTCGCTCCCATGGAGTGATGGTGAGACATAGTCGATGAGTGTCATGCTGAACTGGAGCAAATGACCAGTGTTTTCTCTATCTGATATTGATTTCTGATAAACACATTACATTATTTCCTCGTAATGTGCATAGTTATGTCTTTAATCTATCTTTGGTTCAATGGACACAATAAGTGTATATCTTGTTTATTGGAATAGATCTTGTGTTATTTAAAGTCGGCCAGATTTTTTCTTGTTGTTCCTTTCGATTTTTGATTACATTAATGATGAAGTATATGTTGTTCCTTATGTTTTTTGCTCGGCTTTTTTTGTCTAGTTTATTTCATTTCTGATCAAATCTGTAGCCCTCAGTAGTCCTTCCTTGTCATTGAATGCAGAAATTTTATTGAACTTCCAAACCTGTTTAAGCCTTCAAATATTTAGAATAGAACGTACACATTCAATAAATATACTCATGGAAACTTTTGAAAAGCGCAGTTATCTGAACGTGATATTTTATCGAATACGATATAAGGCATGGAGTTGTTCGTATTGAGAAATTTGTATTCTTAATAAGCCGTGACACATAGTCATGTATAGTTGCATATTACATTCATTACCTCATTGTCAGAATAGATAAAGTCATGTATTGTCAATATCATGAACGAAAGTGATGAAGAGGCGAAATTTCAACGATTCACGAAAATGGAAAGAAACTAACAATAGGAACAACTTGTGAAGATATACAGAATTGAAAAAGTAAAATAATCATCATTCTCATGGTAGCATTCAGTACGGATACTGTTATAAAGCACAATCATATCTACTAGACCAAGAGAAACAGAATTGATAAATTGTTTTTCCGAATGCTCACAATCTGGATGACCTTCTCCTACACCCCGTAGCATCAATGCGTAGGCCTTCATCCTACAAACTTACCAGATGTTGAGCAGGAATATTCGACCCCGTTTGGGGGAGTTTCAGTAGCTTTTTCTTTCAAAAGAAGATATTTCTGAATAATTCAAGTGTTATCATGACACTAATATGTAGAGGGACATGTTTTCACTCGATGTAGATATTTTGTTAACAAATCTCCCGTTTATGCAGATAGGTGTCATTATCTGTGATCATGTCGCAAGCAACAGTGATCCATTATAAATTTTCTTTTCCTTGTATGAATAAGTTAGTATTATTTATGTGTCTGGAATGATAAACTGATATCTATGGTCGGCCTGCAAAATTTGGGCTACCGATATCCACGCTGAAAATTCCATACTTGTACCAAAAATACGCTGTGGAATCAAGCTGTAATCAAAAATAGAAAAAAATAAAAAAAACTTACATTTGAATTTGAGAATTTCAGTTCGTTAGACAATTAATTATGGGAAGGTAAGGCAACTTCTGATTGAATGGATACAACACAGAGTAGTAGATGTCTATCATATACGATAGCGAATAATGGCTGTTCACCTTTCTTAGATGCACTCGTGACCGACTAACATTATGGGTCAGTGAGTTTATGGATATGAGAGTAGTTTATGTGGGTGAAACGATGCCTGTTTAAACACAACGTTCGTCCACTCCATGCTGAGAATGTAGCAAGTAGTTTAATATTTGTTTGGCTACTATTGAATGCATATGTACGTAATATAATGTTGAGGAACAGATTGCATATCTCATAGAAATATTATCAGATAAATTGCCTCAAACTGTATAGAAACACCGGAGAAACATCATCCCCACAATCAATCAGTCAGTCAGGCTGCAATAAATATGTCTATATTTCCTTATGGTTCACTAGTAGTTCTCAATATCTGATCACCAAAGAAAGACTTGAAGCAACACTCCATAGGATCCCCTATACAGTCGAGCTTATACTCATAGAGAAAATGATTGGAGTAAATCAGATTTCAGTGTATGGTCGTTCTCCAGGGACCACGAGTCCATTATCCAATCTACTAGACATCATTCGAGTGAGTGAGACGGTAAACAAAGCATCCATGTTTAAATCACATGATAAACAATTCTGTTGAGTTGTGTCAGTGACATAATGATTCAGACTTGGCACTGTTGTAGACGTCTATGTTAACGTCTAGCACTCAAAAGCATACATTATGCTTCATTCTACGTGACATATACAGAGAGATAGATCTATGTCAATAGCTAATTTCATGCAAGTAGCTGTATTGTAACAGAGAGATTGGATTGTTCTGTCGGTCGCTTTAATCACCATTTTAAGTTGTGACTGACAAAGTTTTTATTCACACTGTTCATATGACCTTTTTTCTATGACACGTTTTGAATTTAGGGCAAATAGTAAACTTATAACCCTTACTGTTCCATTTGCAGAAATCTTGTATTGCTTTCTGTCTTGTGATTCTTTTTGAAGAGTTCATTATAGAAATATATAAATTTAGAAAGTATAAATACGAAGTATTCTGGTATAATATTTTCAACAGAATCTTTTCTCTATGAGGAAAAAGATGACTTCTCCTCTCAGACTGACACGCTTTCCATTTAATATGTTGATCATCATAAGTGTTGTAATACTGATATTTACTTGTGATAATGCAGTGTCAGGTGAGGAATTTTTGGGATCCTCTTGGCATCACTCAATATTCACAGGTTAGTTTCACAGTTGTTTCCGCATTAACGGCTTATATCATATTTATATGTGTCTGAGTGAATATCAACTTCCTCGTTGAATATTCCTTATTCATGAAACTGTGAGTAAGATGTTGATATTGTGATGTTATATTCTTGTGTTCAGAGTGGATGTTAGGGCGTCGTCAGCACATCTCCCTCCATCTTACTCTGTTCCATGGAGTCCCAATCAGCTGCCTTTACGACTGTCCATTCACTCTCATTTCTTCTTCTTTACACTATCTCCTCCATTTCCTCCTCGTATAACCATTTCAGCCTTTCCTATTCAGGTTCCAGTTTCATGGTGTTAATTGTCGTGTGACGTCTTACAACGGTTTTTTAGCATATGTTCAATCTATCTCCACTCTCTTCATAATACAGGTTGAGGAATAGCTTCTTGATTGGTTGTTTGCCTACCAGATTTCCTCCTTGATTATCCTTTGTAGCCATCTGTACGTAATGGAGTATTCAAGCATTATTAGGTGACTCTTTTTTGTTACGGTGATCTCGTTTTTTGTGTTATTTTTAATTGAGTATATTTAAAATATCTGGTTGAACTGGTGTTTGTTCTTCCTGAGTTCATATTAATCTCTGTGATTTCAAAACCTCTTTGGATTTTGCTATATGGTATGCATTTATCTGTTAATGCATCGTCTCCTAGTCGTTTTCGTTATCTCAAAGTCAAGGACAGATTACTATCTGCTAAATGTATTTTTCTCCTCTGTAATGATTATTTCTGCTATGTACTTTGAGTTAATTTACTTTTTTTAGCATTGGTTTTTTTCTGGGTTTACTTGCTACTCAACTATTCAGCTGGTACTTTCTGAATCAGTGGTTTCTGCAACTATGTAGTAAATATTTTTGTATTACTGCCTTAGTACACGAGCACCTTATGACTTTCCTTTCACACTGATGATTTCATCTTTTTTTTATTCCTTGACTTTCCCAGTGGAACACAGGGGCTTCAAGCTAGAGGCTTGAATTTTCGGTAGCAGTGATGTTAATTTTTACGGAATGGGGTTGCTAGCCTCATGCCCAATATTCCCTCTTTCAAATTCTTGTTACTAGCTTAGCAAGGTAAAGGAGTTCGTCACTCGGGGATCGAACCCTGAACCAGCTGCATGGTCGGCGAGCATTCTACCACTGTGCAACCGATGCTGTGTCACTATCTACACTTACTTTATTATATTTATAATTAGTGTGATTATCTTATCTGTATTATTGTTCACTGTTTACTACACATCCTTAGTGCAGGTTGTGACGTGTTTCTATTATTGATTCGGATATTAAATAAGTTTAATGTCAGGCTGTAAATTAAGTTTTTTTTAATATCTAAATTAACAAAATTATTCATGTAAAGTAATTTGGCTGGTGGTTATTAGCACTGGCGTCCAGGATGCACATTTCATGTTATTTGAGACTGGTTATCTGAATTTGCCTGAGTCCTCAGTAAGTAATGATGCGCTTACTGAGACTCGAACCCACCATCCACTGTTTCAAACGCCAAAGCGTTATTCACTAGATAACTTCGGTGACGAGTTCCACCTCTGGTCCAACATGTACCGGTCCAATCAATCAATAGGAAAATCAAAATTGAATTTAAAGCAAGTTACAATTATAGCAAAAATATTCATTCAAACATCTATAAAACACAAAATAATTGAGCAAAGAATATTCTTTTCGATATATTCCTCTTCTGGCTCTACAATTATACATATATATATATGTTTATATACACAAAATATTCAAGGTTGGTAGTTAATAACAATATTAGTGTTTTTTAAATAATATCGATTTGTAAAGCAAGATCAATGCAATTACAGTTCACTAAAAATACTTAAATTATAATAGTAATAAAGATATAATGGGGAATAGAATATCAACTAAAATTAGGGAAATTCCACAAAAATTCAGGACTGTTCAAACCTGGATGGCCAAGGTAATGATAATGTCTGAACGAACTTCTTTTGGATGCATAAATTAGGCTTGTTAATGTGGATCCCCACAGCCTCAGCAATATTTAGTAGTCGAAATCTTAAGGCAAAATTGAGATTTGTGGGTATGTGGTAAATGACCCTGAAAGTATGGTTGACGTCAATCTTGTGTTCTGTCTCCACAAGATGAGACAGAATAGCACTATGAATGGATTTTGTTTGACCTTTGCTTAACCACGCAGGGTGATATTCGGAAATTCGACGAGAAACACGCCTAGTTGTGCGGCCTATGTTATCAAAGTTTTTATATTTCTCTATAAATAAAGGTGAGTTTTTTAAAATACAATATTTTCCTTGATAAACTTGGACCAGCGAAATGTAATGACGTAATTTATCCTACCCAACAATGTTTTTACTAATTTATAACAATTGAATGCTACTTAATAGTTTTATTAATCGGGTAAGTGAAATTATAAAGTAATAATAGCTATTATCACTACACAGCAACAGGTTAGTAAACACAAGTTCTTTTAATTGTTTCATTTATTGGGAAATACAAAAGCTTTTATCTCTATAAATATCATATTATCAAATGCTCAAATTCTTTTTAAAATATTAGATGTGAATTTTGGTTTGGACACATAATCAAAATTACTGTTTAACTTAAAGCTGTTTAGGAATAAATTTTGAATCAACTCCTACCATACTCTGACAAAGTGATTTTTATTATGTTGAAAATGAGTTAAAGACTGAATTAAATCTGGTAAAATCCTGTAAAGTCACTAGATTACAATCTTTGTAACTACTTCTACTACAGTGTTTGAAAATAAAAGTAATGGTTTAGAATAGACTGATATAAGCTGTCAAGATCTAGAAATAATGCTTACATTTCCCAAACTGCAAACATTTATTCGAAGATATAGCTATGTTAATTGCATCCTGACAGTAAATTGCCAATAGATGGCGTCGATCTGTATTATTGTTTTATACTCCAATTTTCGTTTAGATGACACCATAAGTGATGATGCATTTGAAAGACAACACTTACAACGTGATGTAATCCCTCAGTCTTATAATTTAAAAATTCAATTTAATCTACCCGATGGAGATCAGAGACTACCTTTCTTCAATGGTTCTGTGACTATCAAACTTTACTGTTTAAATGCTACAAAGGTGATCACTTTACATGCTGGTGACAATTTGAGAGTCTCTTCAAGGCAGGTTACTGTAAGTTACCGCGTTCTTGTATTTATTATTATTATTACTATTATTTCAGTACCTAATATTTTCTTGTCTCAACTTAAGTGTTTGGAATTATTTTAGACATACGAAGAATAAATCTGAATAACATGAATAAAATTCAAAGAGAATACCTAAACAAACCATATTGTATTCTACTAGATTTTCCTAAGTCTTTACTGTGATAGTAAATTTTATGTATCTAAAGTTTTGCATGCTATTGGCACCATTATTACTATTATTATCATAGTTATTACTGCTATATCGCAACCCTTAACATTTATCTTCCGTCCACAATTTCGCCATCATTAGTTGAAATTTTATACAGATAAAGTGTGAATATTGAATAAAGCCTGAGGTAGATCTAACTGAAGACAATGTTGTTCAAATGTACCTTTTGTTTTAATTTTAACAGTGTGAATATTTAATATTTAATCATGAATAGGTTTCAGTTTTCAGCGTTTCAGTGTTTTTCTAGCATGAAAATTACAAATGGCTATTGAGGATTTCATCATGAGCTGACATCAGTTGGAGAACTACTGAAAAACCTGGGAGTACTGGACACCTGTTTCGTCCCAGTTCGGGACTCTTCACAGTACACACCCACCCACAGGGGTTTGGACTTAGGACCTTCTGGTGGCACAGTGGTTAGGACTCTCGCCGACCATGCACATGGTCCGAGGTTCGATCCCCTGCTGACGCACAACTGATATCTATGGTCGGCCTGCAAAATTTGGGTGACCGATATCCATGCTGAAAATTCCATACTTGTACGAAAAATACAGTGTGGAATCAAGCTGTAATAAAAAAATAAAAAGATAATACAAGGCGAGCTCGTATACCATTAAGCCACTGGAAGCTGATCCAACTGCCCATGAATTCTACCTTCTGCCAATTCACGACACAGCGCGACCATTTCGCAATGTCTTGAGTACTGCTGAAGAGTCCCAAACTAGGACGGAGAAACTGTCCAGTACTCCCAGGTTTCCAGTGGTTCTCTAAATGATGTCAGCTCATGATGAAATCCTCCATATAATCAAACAAAATCCCTGCAAAACCAATACTTGAAAACAAATGGCTATTGTTATGACTATCATACCATATGACGTCAAAAGCACTAATATGGAAGTTGTTTCTAATGTGAATGAACTGCTCGTATCTATCGAAATTACCTTATTTCAAATAAATGAAAGTATGAGGAAGATATTTTATTTTTTCTTAATGGATTTCCGTTTACCACCACCCCCATAATATGACTCTATAGATCAATATGAAACATATGACCACTTTTATCTAATATTCAACTATTTCTGAAAATTATATCTTTCAAAATACTTTTTTTTATTCCTTTACGTCCCAAGTGGAACATAGGGCTTGAAGCTATAGCTTTGTAGTTTCGGTAGAAGGAATAGGGTTGCTAAGCTCATGCCCAATCCTGCCTCTTTAAAATTCTTGTTACCGGCTTAGCGAGGTAAAGGAGTGCGTCTGTGGCCGGGGATCAAACCCCGAACCACCTGCATGGTCGGCGAGCAGTCTACCACTGTATCACCGACACACCACCTCCAAGATACTTAGAATAAATAAATTACAAGATGACAGGATGTGTTTTATTCTAGTAGCAGTGATCACCACAATATACTATGTTGAATTTCATTCGATGCCAAGCAGTAAGTAGCTATAAATCGAGACCTATTACTGTTGATTAATACGTAGATCTTTCAGTCTGTTATCTGTTCGTGAGACACTTCAGTTTATGAAGAAATTAATCTTCATTACTATGCAATTGTATAGTAGAAATACGTGTATCATTAATTATTCCGAAAGAGCATATTTCTCCGAAATCCGCTTGAGAACATCCATGCAAACTATTGCTTGGCGAGCGTCGGTGGATCCGCCGTAGAATGCATGCCAACTACAGAAGTTATTCAAAGTTTGACGTTTTCGCTGACGCACTCATAAACCTCGCTTAACCTCTAGAAAGGCCGGCAAAAATGAAAGGTTAGGTGTGAGGCTAGCAACCGAACATAATAAAGATAAAACTACTTCTACTGAAACTTCAAATCTTGAAGCCTGATGCACGATTTGTAAATCTGTAATGAACGTTTGATAGTACCCATTCGTTTCGTCGACAAAACAAATTACGTTTTGATAACTGAAATCATTCTCACTACCCTTGCATGACATAATTATGCATGGATACTAAATTGGTAAAGACGAAAATATCGTAATTATTTAAATTAACCAAGGTCTGAAAAGCTTGCAATGAGTACTATAACTAACAACAGGAACAGAGCAACGCCAATACATCTTATGTAATTCTCTAGATACAAATTTTCTCTTGGTGTTACAATGAAACTGAAATGTGAAGCACATATGAATGTTTCGTAAGATATCATAGGTCAGTTTTGCTTCAGTATATCCTTTATAGAAACAAGCATCAAATATTTTCTCGCTGATTTAGGAGTAGCGTGAACAGGAAAATCTTACACAGAATTTGATCACTCAGAAAGCAATGTATGGTAATTTTTTTTCGAATATGCTACAAGAGACTTCCAGTAGGAAATGAAGCTGACAATTGATCATCATTAATATTGAGGTTTTCAGTAGGCATGTTGAGACATGTTTTACACTGAGGACTCTAAAAAACTGCGAACAGCATCACACGATAAAACAACAACCCTCCTGAGATCATCTCCTTCTTGCCAAATGAAATTTATGAACGATGATATATGTTGCTATTTAACTGCCATTGTGTTTACCACTCTGAGAGTGAATATGCATATTGTATATTCAGTGGTTTAAATCTGTTTTACAATGATACATATCTCAGGCTAACCATATTAATAAAATATAAAAAGATACTGGAGAGTTGGATACATAACAGTACTTCTTGTTTTAATCTGAGCTTGTTTATTCTTCTTTTCTTTTTATTCCTTCACGTTCCCAGTGGAACATAGGCCTTGAAGCTGGAGGCTTGAAGTTTCTGTAGCAGTGTTTATTTTTACAGGATGGGGTTACTAGCCTCGTGCCCAACCTTTCCTCCTTACCAACTTTATTTCTGGCTTAGCGAAGTGAAGGATTGCGTCTGTGGCCGGGGTTCGAACCCCAGACCATGTGCATGGTCAGCGAGCGTCCTAACCGTTGTGCCATCGAGCTTGTTTATCTCATCCAGTAAATCTGACGGATTTTACATTTCTACTTTTAAGGAAAACCAAATAACTGACTTGAGTTTTATTACTCTACTTTTCTCTTATCAGATATCTACTTGGAATAATATAAATGGGAACCCTAAGAAAGTTGAAATTAAACGCATTTCTCGTATTAGAGATACTGATCAGTATCGCATAGAACTACAGTCTCCATTAAAACCAAATACTCACTACAATTTGACAATTGGTCGATTTAGATTACGCAGAGGCCGTGCACCAGAAGGTTTATATTTGACTGATTATGTAACAAATGATACACGCAGGTAAGTTTTAACATTAAAAACATAAAACAATTAATTCCCTTAATGAATTTAGATAAAGTAATAAGAAGACGTCCCCTAAGAAAGACGTGTACATCAAGCTAACCTATATGGGGTATCAAAGCGGCTTGATAACTAGACAAAGACTGAACGCCGCTGTTAAAAAGACTTTTTATGCAGCTAATATCATAATAATAGAGAATGTAAAGCCATTGTATCTATCTAAGCCCTTCGAATATGCAAAAAATGACGTCACATCCCACTGTATTCACCAATTTGAATGTACATGTGGACACACATACATAGGGAGGACTCATCGATCTCTGCAAGTAAGGGCTGGCTTCCTAAATGGCTCCAAAAGCAAATGGAATCTTCAGAACCCATTAATGGTGAGAAGTGGAAACCTAGCTCTTCCGTTGCAAAACATATTATAGAGACAGGACATAAAACTGACGTTAACAGATCTTTTAAACCTATCTATAAAGCGTGTTTTGGGCGTATCGTAAAGTTTGTAGAAGCCCTAGCAACTAGAAAGTTCAAGCCACCTTTATGCGTTTAAAAACAATTCGTCATCACATTAAATTTGTTTTGATACCATAGCAAATGTACTATTACCTCTGCTATTTGGTTTAGTGGTCTTCATTGTTATTTTGACCTTGAATATGTCCTTTTAACTTGACCTAGATCTATTTTCTCACCTCTTACCTCTTTATTAATTTCATATATATTCCTATGACAAGTCCGTGTGTGATCAGATTGTTCGAAATGTGTTGTGCGCGCAAATACATTACACGATTCAGACAAATTATCTAAATTAAAAACATATTCAAAAAAATATAACCCATTTTGTGTGTCCCCCGTAGCTGAAATTCTGTCACTTCAAAAGTAGAGTATTTAAGACATATTGTATGAAGAAACTCATTCAGGTTAATCTTCAAGAGTTGACTTGTAAGGATTAGATTTGTTTTTACGAATTACATCTGGTTAGATCATTGTGAACATTTACAAAAACAAGAAAACGGTGAAACTGTTTTGTGTGAAGCAATATTCAAAAACTCCAGCCAGACTACCATGCCTAGGCGTCATACATCACTAAACCATGTTATTTTAAATCAGATTCACAAATTAATTCGCAAACTGCTCCTTACATGATTCAAATTGAATCTTTACCACAGTTTCCCTTGGAAACCAAAATTATTCAAATCACAGTATGTGATCTGCCCGATATCATAAATGGCAACCAAAGAAGCAAGCATAAATGCATGACACTACACACCACTGGATGATTGAGATGAGGAGTGGCCTACCACTCTTAACAACCAGTAGCCAGATCAAAGCGGTTTAAACACTGGATGGTCATTTTGCTCCATTGGGTTCAGGGTTATCAACAGTGTATCCAACTAGACTCAGCTTAGAGAGCTGAATAAGTTCACACCACCCGATTTATGGCTAGCTACTTGGGTGAACTAGTAATACACCTTACCTGGATGTGATATTTTAATAAATCATGTAATTTCAGCTATTATAAAATTACTTAAACTAATTTTGTGATGATTCAATCCGACCTGGTGCTCAAATTATCCCAGAAAATTTACTGCATCTTTGATAAGGATGCCTATAATCATATTTTTACTTAAAACAAGTTAATCGTATTGTCGTCTGGCTTACTCAACACAACTTTTCAAAGGTTTCGGACGTTTATTGTGGGTTCACAGGTCATTTACAAGTGCTGTTAGCGCTCTGTCACAAGTGGTTAGATTGAATAAAAGTTATAATGTGTTGTAGAGTAGGTCTTTCCTTTTTTTGTAATATCTGTTCTAGCAGAAATAATTAAGCTATTTCTAGCTTACTTTAAACTTACAGAGCCGTCCTGTTCTTTGTTCATCTAGATGTGTGTAGCTAATTACCCAATTATACTCCTTACTTCGTAAGGAATCAAATAACACCTTCGACTTTGGAATTCCTTTTCTTACCTTTCATCTAGACGATATCTAAGAGGTATGCGCTGAATAATATCTCAGCAAGTTACAAGGAAACACCATCCAAACAGCTCAATTTTTACACAGTTTCCAGTGAGGAGGCGAAGAGATTTACTAATTAGAATGCATGATTTCCTACAAAATGGTTTGATTTAAGTTTATAAGCCCCATTTTAAAGGCGATCCCTAGGCAAATTTAAATAGTAGTCAACAGTAACTCATGTTGATTAGTAACAATGAGTTTCTTAATTTGTAGTGCGTGTGTGCAGTTTCTGTGCCACTGAAAGTGAATACATATCTATCCATCTAAGTTAATTGTTTATCACCCTTTATTCAGACTTCTTTGAATTGTCATTATACAAATGCGCATAAATATATTCGGTTAACGTCATTTAGGCATGGCTTCCTTGCATTTCCTGGCCTCAGGTTCCTCTGATTTGTAAAAATCTAATAGTTTTATAAAAAGTTAGTTGCAAAGTAGTAACTGGTATAAAAATCCAATAAATGTCATGGATATTAAGAAATCTTCAAACATTACATGGGCCATACGTGCCGATAGGAACAGATGAGAAATCTGATTTCTGATTGAATATTGCCATAAAAGCTATTCCTTCTACTCCTTTTGTTTTTCTGAGCTCAATGTAATGCATGAAAAATGTTTGTTTTATCATTTAATGCAATTAAAATGCGTGTATTTGTTCCCATGTAGTATCAATGTGCAATATGTGACCTCAAGACATTCAGTTATCTTTGAGTCATGCTGTATTATTTCTGTCTATTCATTTTGTATTTCACAGTTATATAGTAACCACTGGAACAGAACCAACACATTCCAGACGTCTTTTTCCATGTTGGGATGAGCCTACATTCAAAGCACAATTTCAGGTGAGAAATTAATTTTTACTTGTTCAAGTATTGGTTTGTAGGGATTTGATTGATTGGTTACAGGATTTCATCATGAGTTGATATCGGTTAGAGAACCACTGAAAACCTTGATAGTACTAGGTAGCTGTTTCGTCAGCCTAGTTTGGGTTGCTTCATCAGTATGCACCCACCTACAGGGTTCGAAACAGGACCTGCTGGTTACAAGGCTAGCTTGTAGACCATTAAGATCATAATCTTTACTTACATATTGTACCAGCCTGTTTATAATCACATTGGTTTAGAAAATTCTAAAATTGATCCTCCTTATTTTCCCTTCTAGCGATAAAATTATCTTACTGCTACTACTTACATACTGTTTTTCATGGTTGTTTCGTAATTCCGAGACAAACTTCTAAACTATTGGAATTCAAGAGTATATTTTACGTTAACTTAGGCAGATTTCCTACAAAACTGAAAGAAACACATTCTGATATACGATCTGAAAATTGTTGTTCGCATGTATGTTGCACTCTCTTTGCATATATATATATATATATCACTTGTGGGTCTGATTTGAAGAGTTAATGAAACTGGCAGAGAAAGTCTACACTGTCAAGCTCCAAAACTTCTACTAAAGCTGAATGCTTCGCACATCACATTATGAATCGCTACAATTTCATTACACTATACGCCTTGTGACATGACATTGAAAACAGTGACATTAGCTTCTTTCATTATTGAAACTGGAAGCTAAAAAACAGTTATGTAATAACGTAACAGCTCAATCAAACGAAAAGTGCATTTTACCACTAAAACTATTATTACTATTATAGGTTTCCAGACCGTAGGTGTTACGAATTTCCTGGAATAATTTGATAATCCGAATAAATCTGCTGAAGAAGCTGTGGCTTACACGGCGAAAAGTTCAGAAAAATCTTGTTTTGATTTTTTTAACACGCTGGGATTAATTTAAATAATTTATAATATTATTATTATTGTTCCCTTGGGTTCCTAGTAGAACATAGGGCTTCAACTGCACGTCTACACTTGCTTCTGTCTTCTGCTGCTGTACTTTTCACCTGCATCCATCTTAGTCCATACTCTTTCAACTCCTCTTCACACGATCTCCTCCATGTCACCCTTGCACTGACGTCCCGCTCGCCGCTTCCCTTTCGGCCTGATTCCACTCGAGCAATGGCCTGTCGCGCGCGCGATGTCACCCAGCGGCCTCCTCAGCCACGAGTGTCAAATCCACTCCTGTCCGCTTTCTCCTGCATATTTGTTGGTTGGTGATTGGTTCTTGTTTTGTTTGTTCCCGCCTATAGTTTCTTGCTGGTGATTCTTTCCGGCCCGGCTGGCCATCTGATCTTCAGTACAGATCCATCGAAGACAGTTGTTGATAAAGGTCTGCAACAGACTGTTGGAAATATTCTTTGAGACCCACCAAGTTTCTAATCCGCATAGAAGAACTGACTGAGTTGACGTTTTTATTGAAAATCCGACCGAATTTTGTTGTTGATGCTGGCTGAGTGACAAAGATTTCCAGATTTCATGGAGGATTTAATCATGAGCTGACATCAGTTAGAGAACCACTGGAAAACCTGGGAGTACTTGACAGCCGTTTCGTCCTAGTTTGGGACTCCTCAGCAGTACACACCCACCGGGGTTCGAACCCATGACCTTCTGGTTACAAGGCGAGCTCGAAGACCATTGAGTCACTGGGACCCGATCCAATGGCTCTTGAATTCTAACTTCTGCCAATTCACGACATAGCGCTCATGATTAAATCCTCCATGTAATCAAACAAAATCTCTACAAAACCAATACTTGAAAATTTCCAGATTTGTTTCAGGTTGATGATGAATGTGTTTCTCGCCTGCCTTCCCGACTCTCGCTCGATTTGACATCCTCGTCTGTTACGACTTCCTGTAGTTGAGACAATTCTCCCTCCCTAGATAAGTGAGTGAATGAAGTAAGCTGTTTCAAATCCCTCCCATTGATGGTGATTGGAGCTGGATGTTTCTGTTGTTGTTGTTGTTGGTTGGTTGGTTGGTTGGTTGGTTATTTTCATAACCTCCGTCTTGTCCACCTTGTTCACCTGGAGTCCATTCTTCGCCGGCTGCTTCTTCGAGCAGTTTGTCGGTTTTCGTTCGCTTGTAAGTCTTCGATTTTGTGACAGTGACATCAAACATGAATCATCCACGCGCGAAATCCAGGTCTTCTAGGTTCTTCACGTCGGTCGGTCTAGGATATCCCTGTCTTCTTGTTTCCCACTTAAACTAACTTAAAACTAATTATTTATGTCGTTTGATTTGTAAGTCTTACAGAATTCTGCTATACACTGAAACCAGCTATCATACATAAACGTGTATAAAATTCCGATTTCCTTTTGAAATTTATTACTTACCATCTAATTGTTATCTTTCAGGTTAACATCATACGTCATAAAGATTATAATTCACTTTCGAATATGCCCTTGAATAAAACTGAAACACTCTATGGTGATTGGTGCCTTGACAGCTATGAACCAAGTGAAAACATATCAGCACATCTTTTGACAATTGTTATTTCTCAGCTTTCTCCAAAACAAATAACAGATTCAAAAGGAAGGAATGTAAGTGGAAGTAAAAGAAATATGTTCATGAATTGTTGATCCCTCTGTCATTTAAACTTCTATTTTACTTGTGATAGTAAATGATAATTATTTTAGTAAATTTGCTATGGGGATAACCAGTTTGAGTACAGAAACTTTGAAAATTTTTGCGTTTCTTTTAGAGGATGACTTTAAAAAGTGTGCAGAAGAGATGTTTAACGCAATTAAAGAAAGTATTGTATTACTAACATGATATAGATAAGGGATTTACTTAATAGGATGCAAGTATATTCAGATGACGAGTCCCCAATAGGACGAAGTGTGCGTTCTGGATTCCACTGCTAATCACCGTCCACCAACTGATTTATAGATGGCGAATAACTGTTGGTTATTCGTTGTTATGCTGTCTGTATTAGAATATGTAACTTGAACTACATACAGTGATTGTAAATCATATTGTAAAACTGAGAGCATTGGACTGTATTGTAATAATTCATGGCGAAAAATAACCACAACTAACTAAACAAGCTGCAAGGGAACGTTTTATGAGAACAGTAATAGTGAGTATTCATTCATTTTCGCTGAGTGACTTTCAAACTTCATGGAGTACTTTAGTGAAGTGTCCAAAAATAAATCTGTTCAAACAACTATAAAATATCGTAAATGTATAAACCAACCAAAGAATTATAATGGGGTAAAAAATCTCAATGGTTAATTTTTTTGTTAAACCATTTTTGGCCGAGGGAAAGATAAAATCAGAACGCACTTAATTTGAATGCACAGACTATTTTCTTTCAAGTGGCTTCACCCTCCCGACTCTTAAATGTGCGTCGGTAATACAGTGGTTAGGACCCTCGCCAACCATGCATATGGTCCGGGGTTCGATCCCCTACCGATGCACACCTGATATCAATGGTCGGCCTGCAAAATTTGGGCTACCGACATCACATGCTGAAAATTCCATACTTGTATCAAAAATACGGTGTGGAATAAAGCTATAATCAAAATTTAAAAAAATTGTAACCATAATTAGAATCAATAAGTCGGGTCATAGCCAGAAACGATAAGGGACAAGGAACTTTAGCAACGAACCAATTAAGAACCTGTCACCTAACAAATATGCAGAAGGAAACACAGGTAGATTGGACATACGCTGAGGTGACTGTGGAATGATGTAAAGAGCCAGGTCTTTTTGTGGAACCCGAATGGGAAATGATGAGTTAGACGTCTAATTGTGGCATGGATACGATCGTGTGAAGAGGTTATAAAAGCTTGTGATAAGAGATAACTGATTACAGTAAAAATGTACAGACGAGGCCCTTTTCCCACTTGGAACACATATAACGAATAATAAATCTACCTATGCATCTGTGTCGATTTATTCGCGACGTATTATGAATCTTAAATTTAGCAAATCAACAGAATGTTACTTTCAATTGTTAATTTTTCCAAAAAGATTCTGACAATACATGATAGGCTGTGTATTAAAATAAATATTCACTACTTTGTTCCATATAATCCATCTGTAACCTTAAGGTGAACATCACCAAGATCCGATAGCTGTTAGACTGTCATTAAAAATTAAGGGGCACTGAACAATTGTCTCGTTCAGGTTTACAACTCCTGAACAGTGTTCACATATGAACTCACCTGGGATCACTAAATCTGTTTTCTGTTTGATATAAACATTAGTTTTTATATATATCAAATTTATGGATACACAAAATTTTATCCCTATTTTACAAAATAATCATTAAAATATTTATGAAATTGTCGTTACATTGATGAACATCTTGGGTTTTTCTTCAAGATACTGATTAGTGGACAAAGAATATGCTTTCTTGTAACTCCTTCTTCAAGTTCTAGAGTTATATAAACATATGAGTTAAGGAACATCTGTCGTCTGAAAAAAGTCAGATGAAATCGGGTCGTTAAAATTAAAAGTCCAAATGGTAAATGTAGGCAAACTATTACTAGTTTACATTTCGAAACTTGTGTACATGATAATACACGCACAAATAAATGACAATGAATGACAGCGAATGCATAGTAACGCATGTTGATGAATAATACTCATAGTAAATTGTATTCGGTTCAAGTATCGTTTTGTTTCTCTCATAAATACATTTTTATTTCCTACAGTTTACATTTTGGGGCAGTCAAGAAGCACTACAGTTTGCCAATAATGTACTAAATATTTCTGCAAGATTGATTGAATTTTTCGAAAATTACTTTAGTGTTCCTTATCCAGTTAAAAAGCTGGGTAAGTTTATCCTCTATGCTTGACAAGATAAGTGAATGAGAGTGTCACACTCAAAATTTTATGTGGATTATTAATTTTTCAGGTTTTGTGTTTTGTGGAAATTTTGATCATTTAGAAAGTCATTGAAAACTAGAAAGTATCGAACTGATGTTTAGTCATAGTTTCAGATGCTTTGATAGCGTATGCCCATTACCCAATAACAGATTGTACACAGTACCTTCAGATCGTGTGGTGAGACTGCTGAACATCTTGCTTAATAACATTTCACTGGTTGTAAAATGAGTAGCTAAACTATCAACCTACTGTGAAACTATGACTAAAAAGTCATCCATTGATCCTTAGTTTTCAATTATTCTTTAGCTGATGTCATTTCACGATTAAATCTTCACTGAAAAATTAATCTACTGAGGTAGTCATCAAAAATACCCATAGAGTCATGAAGAAAATAAAAAAAAACAATTCAGCGAAGGAAGTTTTCTTTATCGACAAAATCATCTTCAGAGGCTGTACAGCCGTAATTATATTTACCAAAAATGTACAGTGGTCTAATATTGAGTTATAGGGGGGTAACGTAACTGACATAATAATTACCCAGAAGTGGCTTCAAAAGTAAAAGTTATGAATTGCGTAGTATTCAGCGACACAAAGAAAGAAAGCGTTAGAAATTTGATGAGGTTAAAATTGCTATTGAGTGAGAATAAAGGTAGCTGAGTGTCAATTTAATAAGTGTGAAGAGGGTCTGAAAATGTACAAAATGACCATATAAGAGTGATACTAGTGAATTGGTTATTAAAGTAAAAGCAAACTAATCATTAAAAATAAAAATATAAAGTGAACAACTAATAAAGACGTTAAGACCATGGTAAAATAAGAGACGGGACAACCCTATTCTGTATACAGAGTTCGGGGTTGTATTGAAGAATTTCCAACACCTTCGTCATACACGAATGCCAAAACCTAATGCCTTTTGTACCAGGTTTGATGAAATAAACTGTTTTATCATCCGAAAAAAGCCTAGTTTAACTTCGGATAGATGCAAACTCATGACTTCCTGCTACCTTAAAATCATTGTCATCAGGTCTTTCAAAGAGTCAGTTACTATTATGACACTGTTTCTACCCGCAGCGGTGTATAATTTTCAACTTCAGTCAATGTGTAAAACAAACAAATAGAAGAGGTAATTTGTGAGTCACGTTCAATTACAATATAGAATGAAGATGAAAAACAACTATTTCCGCCAGCATTTTACAGTCTTCCAGATAAAGTTAGTATTGTTTCTCATCTTGGATTCTGCTGCTAGTCTCTTTCTGGAGCTTACCCTCAAATTATTCTTCAGAAATCCTTAAAGCATCCATTCTAGGAGCTGACATGTTAACAGAGGCCTTATATGTCGATCCAATCAACCAACCGGAAAATCCAGACTGACTTAAAAAATATCGTGTTATTTAGTTTTATTTACGAAAATTTTGCATACTGACTGAGAAAATTAATTTTTCAAAAGAATGGACACTGAACAAAGAGTACTCTTTTCGATAACTTCAACATCAGGCTCTACAGTTATATATACATTATAGTGAATGAATGAGTTAGTGTTAATTACAACACTAATGTCGTTTAAATAACATCGAATCAATAATATTGATAGATTACAGCTCAATAGCATCAACATAAAATAATAAGCTGAATGTCAGAAAAATTAGGAAGGATAATATCACAAATTCATGAATTTATAGTTTCTACTGAAGGCCGGCCAGGGCAGTAGTAGGGGCTGGACTTGCTTCTTTTGAACACAGAGCACTGGTTGTTTGAGGCAAATTGCAATAGCCTCTGCTGTTTCGAGCATGCAGTGCTTCGATGATTTTGGCAATTTATTAGGCATCCGGTAGATTATAGAGAAGGATTCTTTCACGCCGGCTTTGTGGCCGGTTTGCACCAGATGGTCCAATATCGAACTGTTAATGGTTTTAACTACACCTTTACTTATCCATAGTGCCCTTTACTACTACCCTGGCCGGCCTTCAGTAGAAACTATAAATTCATGAATTTGTAATATTATCCTTCCTAATTTTTCTGACATTCAGCTTATTATTTTATGTTGATGCTATTGAGCTGTAATCTATCAATATTATTGATTCGATGTTATTTAAACGACATTAGTGTTGTAATTAACACTAACTCATCCATTCACTATAATGCATATATAACTGTAGAGCCTGATGATGAAGTTATCGAAAAGAGTACTCTTTGTTCAGTGTCCATTCTTTTGAAAATCTTAATGGGCGTTTTTAATCAGTTAAAATTAATTTTTCTTAACTGCACCTTCTCTACTTACTGAAACCCATACAACCAGGTGGTATCATCATATCATATATATGGGAGTTAGTCATTGATTAGTACACAGAATATGTTATTATCACATACTATTCAAGACAGATACACAAAGAAATTTGTTTAACTGGCATAAGTTCAAGTGCTTTCAATATGGAAGCAAATTTTAAAGGAGAATAAATAGGTAACATGACGTTAAGTCTCATAGATTATCTAATCTACTAAAGCATTTCTCTTGTTGTCTAATTTAGTTAAATTAGTACATTTTGGGAATAGAGTAATAATAAGTTTTCATAATATTATCCGTTTAGTTTTTCTCTCCAATGCTCTAATGGATATTTTCAATGATATAAAAACTTCCTAATTGAACTTCACGTAATATTCTTTTGGAAATTCAGATATTGTTGCAATCCCAGATCTTGATTATAAAGTAGGGCAAAACTTGGGTTTAATAACACTTCGCGAATTGGAAATACGTTGCAATCCTGAAACTGATTCAGCTACTACACAGATTTTGGTGTCTTCTGTCTTATCCTATAAATTGCTCGTCAGGTAATTTACATGTCTTCTCCAAGAATTGAAAACATTTATTTCCCGATACAAATTTAAAACAAGCAACAAAGGTTAATAAAGCAGGATTTAATGAATTTATCAAATTTCGGTAGAACTCGGCAGCTGAATACTCTACATACACAAAGATATATATACTTTTGAAATTACATTGGGAGATATAAGACTGATAAGCAAATAAACTGCATTGAATTAGTCATGCAGAAAGACAGGTTCGAATGTTTTCCAGGTCATGTTCAAATAGATAAGTGGAAAGAGGGTATGATAGATAAAATTAAGATAAATTGGATTACGCTTCAATTACATCACCTAGATAAACAATTAGTCATTAGAGAATATAACAAGAATTGCAAATAGAAAAAAAAAAAAAAAAAGAAATAATACCAATAGTAATGTTGAAGTGAGTTAAGATAATCCTACTGATTAGTTTGAATGAATGAAGAATAATAATAATAATAAGAGGTAGAATAATAAGTAAAGCGTATTGCCATGGTAGATTTAGAGTGACAACCATCTCCTTTTGTACACAGAGACCTGGTTTATAAACTCGAATTGTACAAGCCTCTGCAATTGCAAGCATCTTCCTGTTTCTGTGTCTGCTGACAATAATGAATGAATTGACCGCGTCCATATCATGTCCATAGTCCACAAGATGTTTTGTTATTGAGGACTTTGGCACTTTGCACTCAGCTGTTTTCAACCATTTTGGCAAATGCTCCATCATGCGAGTAGACAATCACCTTTCTGTACAACCTATGTATTTTCTTCCACAAACACACTCAAATTGATATACGCAGTTTGAAGTGTTGATGATTGGCGACTGGTATTTCCCAGATTGTTGAAGCACTCGCTTAATTTCGATCTCTCATGCCCCCCACCCCTTATAGATTTGGACATGACCTGGAAGATATTCGAACCTGTCTTTCTGCATGACTAATTCAATGCAGTTTATTTGCTTATCAGTCTTATATCTCCCAATGTAATTTCAAAAGTATATATATCTGTGTATGCAGAGTATTCAGCTGCCGGGTTCTACCGAAATTTGATGAATTCATTACATCCTGCTTTATTAACCTTTATTGCTTGTTTAAATTTACATGTCAATTCAACTTGCGTACAATTAGATGCATTTACGTATAATAATGCTAAGACTAAATTCACTGTTATTATTTGTTAGGCACTCACTAGGTCTACTTCAGTAAAACATCACAAATGTAGGTGGAAACAGTTTCTTCTTCATTCCTCTGTGTTCTGAGTCGAAAATAGGGCCTTTAAAGTTTTTATAGAGCTTATGTTGTGTTGACAAGGTGAGTTTGCTAACCTCAAGCCCAACGTCCCCTGTTTATCTGAGCTTGCTATGGGTTAAGAAAGGTTTGGGAGTATTCTGACTGAGAATTGAACCCCAGGCCATATATGTGTGTCTGTCGAGCATTCTACTCCTGAAACATCCAAACACATGAAATAGTAATTTTGGCTTATTTTCACATGTGTAGAAAAATGTTGAGCAAACTGACTGCTATTTATGATAATGAAACGAAATGAGTTTTATTTATTCAATGATCTAGAACTCATATTAGAAGCAGTAGAAAGAAGAGATAATGGTGTAGTTTTGAGAGTTAGGCGGACAAGATAATAAAGAGAGATTATTGTGAGAAAACTAAGTGTCTTTACATTAAGAAATTTTACCATCCACACCACAAATCGGTGGTTATGACAAAAGGCGTTAAACAAACTCTTTACTGCACATGGCATTTTCAAAAAGCATCTATTTGAAGGTTATCAATCTCCATATCCAAAAACTTCAAGCCACTAGCTTGAAGCCTTATGCTCCACTGGAAACGTGAAGAAAAAAAGGCCCCTATCTCTCTGATTTGCTCCGTTTACTTACAATTCATCCACATGGTTAGGGAGAATGTACTTCTGTTAATTCTGAGAAAATAATTGATTTCAAACGAATGACTTGTTACGATTACTTTGCAAATATTCTTACTTTCTATTTCAGTGGTTCGGTAATATTGTTACAATGAAGTGGTGGGATAATGTATGGGTGAATGAAGGTCTAGCTACATTCTTTGAATATGCTGGACTGAGCCACATTCATCCGAAGTGGAAAGTGGTAAGTCTGGAATATTTATTTGTTTATTTAAAATATTATTGAATATAGATGGAAGGTTTTACTCCTAAAATTAAAGTATTCTTCATCTGATTTCTAATGAAGTGTGGCGAATCATCTGTTGCACTTAAGGTGACGCTAGTTTATTCACGCTTTATTTCATGTTTAACGTCAGTATTTATGGGTTATACTACATAGACGTCTCTGTATTCACTCATAGAAACCCATCTAGTAGATATTGGGAGTTACATTTAATTTGTTGAGTGTTTGTTTGATGCCTTCTGTCTATAATTTACATTTTAAAATTATTAACAACAAACATAAGAATTTGATAAGGCGTAAATAGTTGGCATGTGAGGCCAGTTTATAAGCAGAAGTAATCAGTTAGGAATGAAATCAGGTCCGTTGTTGCCTTTAAAATTGATGATATTAGATAGTTGGAGGCAATCGGCCACAGGAAGCCTTGGACCTAGGTTTCGCGCTAGTTGACACTCATCGGTCAGCAAGGCTTATCTGCGACCTTGAAGGAACTCATATCCCTTCTGAGATTCGAACCCGCATCACCCAGTGCTACACCGTGCACCATGTTGGAGAGCTACCTAGAGTGGTGGCAACATTGCAGAACCTGACTGACAGAATTCAGTCTGCACCAAAGAAAGGGCTAGACATGTTGCACTAGTTACTAGTGTCCAATCCTAGTGGAATTATTTTTGGATTATTTAGCTGGATTGAAAGAGTTTGTAAAGCAAAACATTCTCCGTTAAGATTTTCATAACCTTCATGTTTATCTAATATTTAGCTTAACATCTGACTGATAAATCTTTCTTTACATATTCAGACTGATAATTTCCCACTGGATGTTACACAAAAAGCTTTGTATTTCGACTCATCTTTGACATCACTGCCACTTAGTCAGAAAATAATTTATCCGGAAGAGGTTGAAAATGATTTCGGAATTTATTCATATGATAAGGTTAGTTTTGGTTATTTAACCTGTTATATAGCTCAATTTTCATTATCAGTAACATTTAGTGAACAATTCTAAATCAGCATGTTTCATTGATACATGCTCCCAAGTTTTGACATTTTGGTAGCCTTATCTTCATACACATGTTACAGTCCTTAAGCGGATATTGAAGTTAGTTGTTATTTTTTTTCCTACACGTTCTCATTGGAACATAGGGCTTCAAGCTAGAAGACTTGGAGTTTCTGTAGCAGTCTTTATTTTACACGATGGGGTTACTAGCCTCATGCCCAACCTTTCCCCTTTACCAGCTTTTTTTAATTACTGGTTTAGCGAGGTAAGGGAGTACGTCGGCCGGTGATCGAACCCTGAACCATGTGCATGGTCGGCGAGCGTCTTAACCGCTGTGCCACCGATGCACAGTTATCCTAACGACTAATCATAAATCAAATAACTGTAATCAGAATACTTAGAAGTGAAAAAAATATTTTGGTATGCACTGAACAATCACTTCGTGTGCTTAACTAATGAGTACAGTATCCTTTGTGAATGGAACAACACCCAAATGGTAAAAAGTTCAACTTTCAGACTAAATGAGAATTATTTTTAATCTCGAAAGGAATACTAGTTTTATGCAGTTGTTAGTATGTCCCTCAGATGATCGCCTGTAAGCAGAAAGGCTGTCGAAACAAAAGAAAGTACGCTTCATTGATTCCAGTTACCATTTTATTACTTTTGATTATAAACAATCTAAAGTAGAGTAACTTAAATACAACTCAAACTTTTAATTTAATTTTTAATCTTCTATAGGCAGCATCTCTTTTGCGAATGGTACAATCGTTTGTAGGGCACAAGGCATTTCTGGATGGTGTAAAAGTGAGTTTTCCCTTGAAAATCTTTTCATTATTTTCTTCTCTTCTATTTGATAACTGTGATTTTCTGTCTTGAGTTCATTCTGATGACAACTAATGAAGAATAGTATTCTGTTCACAATTTATTCTGCATAATTTAATATTTACTAGTCATTTATTGGTCTGTGAAAAGAGATGGAGTATGAAAACGGTTAAGTTCAGTGAGTAATTCTTTTGTACATATTCAAGGATGAATAGAATTTCATTTAATAATTTGAATAGTTTTCACGGAAATTCATTATTGCACACAAGAATCGACTAATAACAACTCGGTAACGATAAAGGTAATCTATTCTACACAGTAATTTTCATTGAATGGATAACCAAAACCCAAGTATTTTGATCACAATGCCACATTTCCACGAGCCATGCACAGTCAAAATTCTAACGATTTCAAAACACGTCTAACGTTAAAAAAATGTGACCTTTACTGAAGCAAGAAAAAAAGTCCTACCTCTGTAGTCTTTGACCACCTTTAATTTGAAGAAATTGGCAAGAATAACGAGCATCTAGTGGTTTTGTGGCTTCCACCTCTTATCTATTCTAGTACAAAGATCAGCTACAACAGACTCCAACTGCTGTGTAGAAAAGACTGTCCTGTTGCCAGTTTTTCAAATCTACTCAGTAAGATGCTTGCTCGGGCAAAAGTAAACTGTTTCGACTCAGCTCCCAACAGTTTTGTTTCTGATTATTTCATTTGCGGCACAGGAAACAATTTTATCAATATGCATTCCAAGGTACTCAGTGAATTCAGGTCTGCAAAGTAATTAACATATTTTTCCAACTTAATAGCAACTCTCGATATAGCCTCAGCATTGCCGTGTTTTATTTTCGGACGTTCTATCAAATTCGGTAGCAAGATCCTTGTTGTTTCACAAATCTGTCCAAAACGGTGCTTCAAACCGCCGACGGTGAGAGCATGATGTGTTCTTCTATGGCATCTCTGGTACTACCTTAACAGTAATGTAACTAGAATAAGAGACACTGTCGATCATCATTCACCTTAGAAGCAACCTAAAGACTGATTAATCTCCAGTATTCCTGTAGTAATTTATTGTAATCGCAATATTAGTATTTCGAGATGACCGAATTACACGAATGCAACCAAAATACAGAGAGGGCGGAATTCAGGAATTTTTATTTAGCGGATTTATTATGCAATTCATATATGAAACCTATTAACAGTCAACAGTAAGTATTTAAACAATACAGAGATAGAAATTGTCAATCACCACATCCGCCACACCTCGAATATCTCCTTGCGTATTTATAACGATGTCTCGGTTTGCTTGCAAGTAGCTTCGACCTAACTGATTCTGTGATATTATTTTCATCAGTATTATCTGGACCTATTTCTGAATTATCTACAAAATCAGGATTATTAGCGGAATCATTAAAATAATAATTGGAACGACCTACTTCATTTATTGTCACTTTGTCCAGGTGTCCGTTATGAACTGAGTGATCTTTGATGTCTAATATCTTCACCACTCGATTTCCCATTTTTTGTAGTATAATTCCAACAGAAGGTCTATAGTTATTACCTTTGTAATAATGTACATTAGAAGTCGTGGACATCAGATGCTTTTTGAGAATTCGAGATTTGAAAAGTTTTGCAGGACTTTCACGGGTACTTGTATGCTCTGCATTCAACAGACGCAGTCTATGCATATGCAGCAATTCCTCCATTTTAATCAGTTGCTCTCTCATCTCATTCAGGTCTTTTCGTGTTTTCGACAGTTCACATTGTAACTCAGCTACCACATTTTTGAAAACAGTTGACACTTGAGTTGCCGAACTTGTAGTGGAGGTTTTCATCGGATTAGCTTGAGTATTTTGAAAGGTTGAAAGACACATTGACTCCATTTTACTAGACAGCTTGGGAGAATTATAAGAATGTTGAGCAACATAAGTATTCGAACTTCTGCAAACCGTCTTGATGTGTCCAACTTTACCACATTTGTGACACTTAGCACCCCGAAAACGGCAAGTGCTTCGTAGATGTAACTTTCCACAGGAAAAACACGGTTTAATGTTTTTGATCTCTGGCTGCATTCTATTACCTGTGGACGGCAGTTTGGATTGCTTTCCATTACCACTTGTATTTTCGACTTTAGAAAGCAAAACATCAGATACTGACGTAGTGGGAGCAGAGTATTCATTATTGACATCTTCATATGTAATACATAAATCTTTAGCAGTTTGAAAGGTACAAGAAGGAATCTGAATTAACTCTTTCTCTAACTTAGGAATATTGATTCCAGCAATTAGACGATCACGTAGTTGAGTATGCAGCTGATCTCCAAAGTTACACTTTGAAGCTTGAATTTGAAGTTGAAGAATGAACTCTCGAATCTTCTGGTTGGGAGCACGAACCAGTTTGTTGAAGTGAGCCCTCTCTCTGGTCTCAAATGTAGTTACATGAAAGTGATTTATAAGAAGTTCACGTAGTTTATAATATGGCAGAGAAATTGGTTTTTCTGGAAATGACAGAGTCTTTACTAGGCTATACGCATCTAGCCCAATAGCAGTGATGAAATGTGCTGGAATTTTGTCATCCCGAACATTCTTGGAAATGCACCACGCATCGAAGCATTCCAAATAATCAGCAATCTCCCGCGGAGACCCATTAATGGGAAATTTTCCCAGGTTATTTAGTTCCATCGCGACGCCAATTTGTAGTAATTTATTGTAGTCGTAGTATTAGTATTTCGAGATGACCGAATTACACGAATCCAACCAAAATACAGAGAGGGCGGAATTCAGGAATTTTTATTTAGCGGATTTATTATGCAATTCATATATGAAACCTATTAACAGTCAACAGTAAGTATTTAAACAATACAGAGATAGAAATTGTCAATCACCGCAATTCCTCTAGTAGTTGTTCGTTACAGGTATATAATTCCACTTTCTGTTGCTCATGGGTGATATCAAAGTATGACAGTGTTATGTCTGTCTCGTTTCCATAGCTTTCAAAAATATGTCGCTTCTTTCACAGACACACTTATTTTTAACCTTGATATCTGGGTAAGTTGGTCTACAAAAAAGAGGGCCAAACGACCACTAGTTATAATCTAAGTAAGCTCTTTTTTAAGGCATCAGAAATTTAAATTTTCATACACTGTTTATGATATTCGTGTGATCTATTCCCTTTGAATAAATGTGTTTTCTCTTTTCGTGTTAATTCTGTGTTTCGCATATCAATGCCAAGAATTACTTAATTGAACACAAATATGATACGGCTGATGATGAAGATTTGTGGGAGGCACTGGAGAAAGTGAGTTACTGTGTGCAAATAAATATTCGAGTAGATTAATTCATTCACAATGAATAAAATATTATATTGTAATACATTTGATAGCAAGTGATTATTTGTGGAGGGCTAAATTCCGTTTTCTCACAATCACACTTTCTTTATTTACTTAGCAGTGGATCTTGGCTGAATGGCATACACTAAATAGCCACTGAATTATGCATACAAGATACAGGGAAACAGTATTATCTGCCTACTGTTTTTCTTAGTATTAATAACATGTAGCATTGTTTAATAGTAAACAGGACTGTCCTTTCTCTGTGTTAGTCAGTAAGTTCTAAGAAGGAAATGGCAATTCACAGAATTCCTATCACCACTGCAGTAAACAACTGAACACTTTTCTCAGAATCATTCATCTGTTTTTACAAAATTACATTCTATGCATAATTTTTTGTTAGCTAATAGAAGTACTGAAAGTTAAATTATTGGTTAAATATAAAGGAATTTGAATAGATTCACGATTCCTTGACGAAGATGGGCTATCCGAGTAGTTTCATAAAGAAACATATGAAAACATCAGAGAAAAAACCTGAGACTCTGATTGCACGTAAGAAACCTCTATTTATTAAGTTACAATTTAATGGTGACTTATCAAGTGAGATTCTATTCCAAAGACTTTCAAAGAGAATACGAAGAACATTTTACGCAGCACACCTATGTTTGTCATTCTCTAGCCGACGAATGATTGGGATGCAAACGAAGGATAAGCTTGATAGTTTTGCCATATCTATGTGCATTTATCAGTTCAACTGCACCTGCGGTGACAGTTATGTTGGGCGTACTACTACACAGCTTAATCAACGTGTTAGTGAACATCTCCCAACGTGGTTTGGCAAAAGACAGACAAAAGCAATCCTTAGCTCCATTTTGTCACATTTAGTTGATAGTGGCTATGTATTGGAGAAAACGAAAGCATTCAAAGTAATTCATCGTATCCTACCGAATCTTTCCAATAGACCTCGTATTCGTCTACTACACACAGCTGAGGAGATAGGCATTCGAACTACTAAACCTGAACTATGTATTCAAAAAAGGTTCGCACAGCCATTATCCCTCCCTTGGCCTATTAAGACATAACCAACTATTGACTTCTACACCACCCCTTGTTTATATTTTCAGCCCCTTTCTTATCATCCCTTAATCTTATCACATCTTCATTAAAAACGTGTCTCATTTACTTCCCTTACAATCTAACATTACTTTATCGGTTCATTTGTTTTTACTAGCCTTTATCGACTACTTCCACTTGAACAATTGTTTGTTTGATCATACTATTTTTCGTTATTCGTGTTATCACAGTTTGCCTCATTTTTTCATCCTTATTATTGATAAGGCCATTATTATTACTATTATTATTATTATTATTATCATCATCATTACTACTATTATGACTCATTGCACAATTTATATTCACCATCGTATTATCCTATAGACAAAGCGCCATAATTGGCTAATATTTGAATTTTTATTTGTAAAATTATATATATTAGAGTTAAGCCTGATGAGATCTAACTGAAAACAATATTGTTCGCTTAAATGTGTTGTTCTAAATATAATCGTGTTGTTCTTTTTATGATTTGGTCGCTTGAATAAAGCCAATACGTAATACATCACTTCTCGGTGTTCTGAGCTAAGACTGAAAACGTCAGTCTGCTTAAATCACTAAGCTACCAGAGTTTCCAACCTCCACTATGTCTAAGCTCAACAACACTTCTCTTTGTTTCAATCTTGCAATTATATCAAATGATCTTCACATAAACTCGTGCACATATTTAATTAGCTTTCAATGAAATGCTGCACAACTCTAGAAGGAAATGAAAATGTACAGAATTGGTTTTCTTTTCATATTCAATAAAACCATGTCATATGATGTACTTCAGATTATGACTTTACATATAAATCCTACACAAAGACGAAATATTTTGGGACGCTGAAAATTTCTGTACCATGTGTTCACATATTATCTGGAATAATGCAGTGTAACATCGCCTAAAGTGAAGTGTTTTCAGTCCATATTTTCATTTGCGAGAGTAGGTCAGAGTTCACGAGGCATCTTATTGAGGCCAAATGAGTTATTCTGTGTGATATGAATAATATTTGTGTGTCAATTAGTTCAAAATACAAGCTGCAGTAATGACGGTGCACAAGCCTATTTCAGAATGATATTATTTTCGTAAGTAGGTGGTGGCTAGAATTACGTTATATCCTACTCGGGACTCGTGTGTTTCAGCAACCTAGTTTGCAAAACAATAGGCACTGCATTCGAGTGTAGATGATGCAGGTACATTTGGCTGCTAGTCAACACCTATGAATCATCAAGGCATGCTTTACTGAAACCTGTACTTCAGTGGAGGATGTCTAACAAAAATACCTGTATAACACCAGTTTCAATAGATTTCATTTTACACTTCATTTGTGTTATTGACACTAAACAATGTTATTGTCACCGTAGGCTGCAAAAGAGGAAAACAAATGTGCCAACATCACAAAAGTCATGGATACTTGGACTCGGCAAATTAACTATCCACTTGTAGTTATCAAACGTGATGATACAAACACATTTCATTTCTCCCAAATTCCTTACTTTGACCCTTCTAATGACACAGAACCTTCAGAACACCACAAGTCAGTTCCTCTGCTTTATTTAATTGATAAAAGATTTTTATTTTAATGTTATATGTTTGATCAGTTGTTTGTAAATTTCCACCACATCTATTTTTATTTTATTCTTTTAAATGATTCGTCATTTGTGTTGATTTGTCTCTTGCATACTGAATATAGAGGATTCCATGGAAAAGCAGTACATCTATTGAGTCGAATTCCTGTTACACTATTTCTTCTGGACTAGAAGGTTTAGATGATTTAAATTAAATAAAGTTCTGCTTTCTGGCTGCAGATATTCACTATAATTTTAAAATCACTCGCGTGTTATTGAAGAATATTTATAAATTCGTTTTCGTAGATTACATGCTGGATGATGGTAACGGAGGCTAGACAACATTGGAAGTGTTTTTCATTTCACATGTAGTTGCTAACACCGATTACTTTCTCTTTACATAATATTAATCTCTGCAAATGTTGATCTGCAGAGATTTGACTAATATGAATTCAAGTCATGCATTGACTTCAGTTAAACAACCATTAAAAACCAGAGAGTACTTGAGAGCTATTTCTCCTCGTTTGGGAGTCTTCAGCGGTGTACTTCTCTGACATTAGTTAAGCGAAGTTAGTTCTTAACCTAACTTTAAGTCAATCAAGTTTTGAAAACCAACAGTTGAAAATTAATCTAATCCTTGCTAGTGATTGACTGAACAATGAAGTTCTGTGCAGTTCTGGTGAGAAGTATTAACTAGTAGAGTGCGAGAAATTGAGTGTGGGGACGAATACTCTCTGATGAAACTGAGTGACAGTCTCACCTTGTATCGTGAACTGGTAGGAGTTAAAACTTATGGACTATTGAACTTGGTCCCAGTGAATGAGTGGTCAACACGCTTACCTCGTACCCGGAACGTACTTAATATGATCCCCAGTGTTGTAATGGGTGCATACTGATGAAGAGTCCCAAACTAGGATGAATCAGCATTGCGGTACTCCTCAGTTTTCAGCGGTCCTCTAACTGACTTCATTTCGTCATCTCACTTGATGTGCTAATCTCTGTTAAAACAAAAGAATGTCATTTCAGTTATGCATCGTCGGTGCTTAAGATGAAATGCAAAGCGCTGGGAAAAAAGTGCAATGTTTAACTGAAAAGATTATGTTTGAATGTATGTTTGACAGAAACTGTTATTCGACTAAATTAAATTCCCCACCGATAATTGAACTGACTAAAAATTTGGCGAAAATATTTTTCTAAACAATCAAAATAACACTCTGAGAATTATGTAAACTACTTTTATTAGTATTAATCTGTCAAATGTCCACTGAAAGCAATGATAAGTTTGTTGGTAATCAACCATTTAGCAAGAATATGGTATACAAAACACATGTGCATCAATAACAATCGATTGTTAATAATAGACAAATGGTGTATGTCATTAAATGTTGACAACAGCATTAAAAATAGTGGTACACTAATATTCAAAAAGCAATCAGCACTATGTGTAAAGCATAGGGATAAATAATGGTGGTTCTGTATGATATCACATGTCCACATTTAATACTTTTCGATGAATATCACCTTAAATATTTGAACTTATCGATCAGCCAGTATTTTAATTTTTTAGCTATACTTGGGAAATACCTCTAACATATGGGTCAGCTAATACGACAAATTGGGATGAGACAAGAGTTATATGGATGACAAATCGTGAGTACTACCACAGTATTACCTATCAAATCAAAATACGAGATAATTTAGGAAATTTCCGAGAGTAACTTGAAATAATAGAGAACGTTCGTATCTGACATGGATGTATATAGTAATGACGTGTTATTCAGTACATATCACATAATTTTGTACATGATGGTCATTATTATTAGAACATTGAAACTATTTAATAGCTGATTCGGTTATACCATTTTTTTTAAAAAAGCAGAGAAACGTTTATTAATTACACTGATGTCAAAAATCTAGTTCATTTCCTTGCTCTTGTAGGTATATTATATTGTTATCGTTGTGAATAGGAAACACGCTGTTTGGCAATATTCTACTTTCTATTACAAAAAACGAACAAATATTACTTTTTTCGGATTACATTCGATTGCCATAACAAATAGTGAAATAAGAAAGTATTCCTCTATTCTTCTTCTCCTTCTTCTTCAATTGCCATATGCATATTTATTCCACTAGATTATTTTCGTAAGCTAATTCCGACAACTAGATTGTATCTTTATCCAAACTGACTAGTGGACTGAATTTATGTCCTCATGTCTATTGATCACTAACTTACTCCACTATTCGCCTTTGAAAAATTCCTCACAGCTTTGAAGATTAATTGTGGCGAAATATGGGCAACTCTCTTAGGAGCTGATTTTCAAACTAGTCTACATACTCTGAAATAAAGGACGTATGATACTCCATTTTTAAATTTATTCCCACTTTAATCGAAAATGGCCTTGTGATACTGACCCAGAGACGACAGCAGATATGCTGACTCCATTATTGCAAAAGGTCTGGAAGGAGGGAAAGGCGCCTACTGACTGGAGGAAAGGTTACCTCGTGAAACTACCAAAGAAGGGCGACTTACGAATCACTCTGCAAGAACTGGCGAGGAATCATGCTCCTGTCGACGCCAAGTAAAATTCTGAGTCGCATCATCCTGGAGAGAATAAAGGATGCACTGGATACAGAACTCCGACCAGAACAAGCTGGATTCAGGAAAGGCAAATCATGTTCTGACCAAATTGGAACTTTACACATTGTCATCACAGAACAAAGCATGGAATGGCAGCCAAACTTCTACCTCAACTTTATATGAGAAGGCCTTCGACAGCGTTGACCGAGAAGTAATTTGGAAACTACTCGAGTAATACGGCGTACCCCAAATATTCATCAACCCTATTCAACAGCTGTACGACAACGGCACATGTCAAGTGATCCACAACGGAAAACTCAGCGAGGCGTTTGGAGAAAACACAGGAGTCAGATAAGGGTGCTTATTATCACCAATGGTATTCCTAATTGTGGTGGACTGACTGGATTATACGTCAGACAGTGGGAAACAAGAAGACAGGGATATCCTGGACCGACGCGAAGAACCTAGAAGACCTGGATTTCGTGCGTGGATGATTTATGTTTGATGTCACACAAAATCGAAGACTTAAAAGCGAACGAAAACCGACAAACTGCTCGAAGAAGCAGCCGGCGAAGAATAGACTCCAGGTGAACAAGGTGGACAAGACGGAGGTTATGAAAATAACCAACCAACCAACAACAACAACAACAGAAACATCCAGCTCCAATCACCATCAGTGGGAGGGATTTGAAACAGCTTACTTCATTCATTCACTTATCTAGGGAGGGAGAATTGTCTCAACTACAGGAATTCGGAAAGGACGAGGATGTCAAATCGAGCGAGAATCGGGAAGGCAGGCGAGAAACACATTCATCATCAACCTGAAACCAATCTGGAAATCTTCGTCACTCAGCCAGCATCAACAACAAAATTCGGTTGGATTTTCAATACAAACAACATCAAGTCAGTCAGTTCACCTATACGGATGAGAAGCTTGGCGGGCGAGCGGGCGGGTGACAAAGAATATTTCCAACAGCCTTTTGCAGACCAGACCTTTATCAACCTACAACTGTCTTCTCCGGATCTATACTGAAGATCAGATCAGATGGCCGGCCGGCCGGGCCGGACAGAATCACCAACAAGAAACTATGACTGGGAACAAACAAAACAAAACAAGAACCAACCAATCGCCAACCAATGAATATGGAGGAGAAAGTGGAGATGCATTGGACACTCGTGGCTGAGAAGGCCGGTTGGTGACATCGCGCGCGTCAGGCCATTGCTCGAGTGGAACCAGGCCGAAAGGGAAGCAAGCGGCGAGTGGGACGTCAGTGGGAGGGTGACATGGAGGAGATCGTGTGAAGAGGAGTTAAAAGAGTATGGACTAAGATGGATGCAGGTGAAAAGTACAGCAGCAGAAGACAGAAGCAAGTGGAGAGGTGCAGTTGAAGCCCTATGTTCCACTAGGGACCCAAGGAAACAATATTAATAATTGACACCCAGAATTTCGCCTATCTCACGCTTAGATTATGGGTTGCGTCCATCTCCTAATAATGATTATAATTATGGTGCATTGCAAAGCCCTCATAGTTTATTAGAACTTCAGTTTGATAATTTTTGCAATAGTAGTTTTAAGATTTCATTAGACAGATTCAGCAGCTAAAAAGACAAAGAGACTATTCAGCGTGTATTAACTTTATCCATTTGTATATTTGCCTAGTTGCATGCTAGTTTACACTGGAAATCGCTACTAGTCATAATATAATGTTATTTCGCAATTTTTTTAGAGGTGTTGCAGAACTCCTTCAGATGTTCAATCTCTCTTTAGTTTTTCTTTTGATGAAATAGAAACTGTAGTCTGTTTGAAAGTTTAATTTAATTTCTTTTGTCAATAATTAGCTTTACAGATTATCTTTATATTCAAAATTTAAAAAAAATTCCTTTGCATATTCAAGTACTATTCAGTGATCCACAACAGATTACAAGACTTCCATATAATTATGTTTAAGCCCAGAACTTATCTAAGTTATATTTCTATTATAAGAGTATGAATTTGAATGTAGGAAATTCGAGTCTTTCGAATTCCCGATTAAAAGTTTGAAAGTCATCTAGGGAAACTGAAAATATTAAGGTATCGTCTATATGGAAAATATTTGTATTCTAATTACCCTGAGGATGAATTATGAACGACCACTTTTTATACACGTAGAGAAGTAACTATTCACTCTTTGCACGAATATGTGTTTTCAACTCAACCTTAATTCAGCAGACTCTCACACTTTATGCATTTATAAAGCCTGATGGACAGCTGACAAACTGTATAGGTTATTAAGAGAACACACAAGTAAAACGAATCAATGAAATTCGAGGTCAGATAAGGAGACTTTAGTTGACACACTGTTGTATTACTTAAATTATACAAGATATTTCTTTCAGATACATCGTCTCTAATAACATCGTTTTGTACGATGTAATAAATTCAGAATTATTATTATTATTTCACACAAGGTACAATGACCAAGACCTTAGACATAAAGCCCACAAGCTGGTATCTATTCAATGTCCAACAGACTGGATATTACCGAGTCAATTATACTGACAATAACTGGCAACTACTGACAGAACAATTGAATAAAGATTTTGAGGTATGATAACTGGAAGATTGTTAGTTTTTATCACATACATTTTATTCACAAGAAATCTACTTAACACTGATTCATTTTCCACAAGTAGAGAGTTGAATTAGTTAGGAAATTTGATAATTAAAACTCTGAAAACTATTCTCTCAAGTAATAATATGTTACTAAGCCATTGAAGTACTTGTAACCGCAAAGACTGAATTTTCTCGACAAATATACTTATCCAAGTTGAGCTAATCAAACATGAATCAACATTTAAGGCTAGAAAATTCCACATCAGTGGCTTATGATCTGAAATATTGATTTCTGGCTTAGCTTGTTTCCACCATTTAAAATTTATTATCGAACATTGTGATTAGTGTAAGCGATGTTGCTAATTGATGTTAGGTATTGACGTGTATAGTCAATTTTTCTTTGTGGTGTATACTTTAGCTCTTCATGATTTAGGTCATAAGCATGTCCATCACTATGTGAACCACAGATTCTTTCCAGTTATTAGAAAGACTAATTAAGTTTAACTTGAAAACAAGCAATTTGTGAGATATCCTTAATTAAGTTGTTTTCCTGAAATGGTGTGAATATTTGTTAATTGAAAGACTATAATTCTCATTCAGAAAATGTGAAATATCCCACTTCTTGTCACTGTTGAATGCTGCTTGTAAAACAAACTCATCTTGATTTATAATGCGGCCAGTTTTTGCTTGAATTAGTTATTTAGTGAAGAAATATTTCTACCTAGATTATGGATCTTTGTATGGATTTGGATAAATTTCAATGTTGATCTCGTCACGAACAAACATAGGTTAGAAAGACCATTGAGAGACAAGGAGCAACAGATAGCTGTCTCATCGTAGTTTGAGAATTCCAAGCAGTGTGCACCCATGACCACATCAGGGAACAAAAACTCTGGACCTTCAGTTTACGAGACCAAGTTCGTTGACTACTCAGTGATCCGTGAATTGTAACTACCCTCAAGGAACACCTTCCATGAGCCTCCACTGCACCTTGACATGGTGGATCCCGCTGCTTACTACTTCCCAGCTGTTCAGTGCTCCTTGGTTTTCAATGGCCTCTCTAACTGATGTTGGTTTACGATGAAACCTACATGGAATAAAATGTTTCTTTTGGTCAGCCTCACTTTCAAGTCTTACAGTCACATTTATGTTGGGTTTAAAAAAGATAGTTGTTAGCAATAGAATTGCCCGGCGATTACACCTAGGACGAAGAAAACTAATATGTTTTTTCAGAGAATAATGTTTAAAGTGGACAGAATACACAAGGAGTTGTTAGGGGGATAAATCGATTTTAAGTATTATTAAGTGGATCAGTCGCCATTTTAAGATATTAGTTTAACTGCTGATTGTCAGGACAAAGTTAATCCAGATTATAATCAAACAATTACAGAGATTCCATGTGTCAGTTGGGAGTTTATTTTTAAAGGCATTTCATAATACTTGGCAAATAATGTATAACTACCTCACAAAATTGATCCACATATCTGCTGTGATCTATGAGTATAATGATAATACTTAGATTATGGATCTTCTTGGTATTTGGATTAATTTCAGTGTAGAAAATCATTGAAAACCATAGAGATCTAGAGAGAGATTTCGAACTAGTTTGGGGCTTTTCAGTAGACTGCGCCTACGATCATTTTAGGGGCTGAACCTCTTATCTTATCGTTACGAGGCGCGTTTATAGAACACCCAGCTTAATAACAGAAATTACAATACACGTTCCGTAATTTACCAACTGAGTCACTTGGTTGTCAACATGCTTGTTTAGCAACCTGAAGTTAACAGGTTGTGGATGCGCACTTCTGAATGGTTCTAAACTAGGACGAAACAGCTGTCTATTACGCCCCGATTTTTAATGGTTCTCCAACGGATTTTAGTTCCTGACGAAATCAGCCAATATAATAATATTGGTAATAATGATAACAGCTTTATTCTGAACAAAATGTTGATACTCACTATAGAATTCTCGGTATATTTAATTTTACCCTTAGTACAAGATCTCCAAGTAGTATGTAATCGATGGTTTATCGCATGATGGAATGATATTCTGTAAAAACCAATCCCTTATCATATTTTTCCATTTACTCCTTCAAGAAATGCGCATTAGTAAATTGATGGTCAGATAAAAGTGTGCATATATTCATTTTGTGATGGCAGGATTTAACTGAATGACTAAAACAAAAAGAAATCTAGAAAATTTAATCCATGCTGTTGAACTAAAATTAATTTAAACAAATCCACTATCGAGAGTCATTTAAATGTTTAACTTTGATTGGAGACTAGTCAGGGACTAGTGTAATGTGTCTAGTCCTATCTTTAGTGCAGACTGAATTCTATCAGCCAAGTTTGCAACGTGACCAGTACCCTAGTTGTCTGGCCATCATGGTACACTTTTAAATGTTAATATTAGATAGTTGGAGGCAATCGGCCACAGGAAGCCTTGGACTTGGGTTTCGTGCTAGTAAGCACTCTTCAGAAAGGCGTATGTACAACCTACCGATTGCCTCCAACCATCTAATACCAACAATTCACAGTGTACCGTGATGGCGAGCCACTTGGCATGGTGGTCACATTGCAAACTTGACTGATAGAATTCAGTCTGCACCAAAGATAGGACTAAACACATTACACTAGTTACTGACTAGCGTCGAATCAAAACCAAACACTCTATTGTTTAATCGTTATGAGACTTTTGATTTAGCTTTTGATATTTTGAGAGTATTGGAATAAATATTGATCAAAGCTCATATAAAATAATATTCAGTATTTTGTGCTGACATTGACAGTTAGCACAGAAGGGTGAAACTTTTAATCTCTTTCAAAGAAACAGATAAGTAAACGCTCTTCTTTGGCAATAACTAGGAACACAACTATTGTTTTCAAAATCTGCCTATACACTTCCTGTTTACATTTACTCTAACTTCTTTCATTCATGAATACCTGATAATTATTTCACTTTTTTTTCCTATATTTATTTATTCAGGCGATTCCAGTTGCTTCACGTTCACAAATTATAAATGACCTTTTCAATCTAGCAAAGTAGGTTATACTCGTTTAAATATATCTGTGATATCTTTAATCAGGTTCCTAAAACATCAAAGTTATACATGTATATATTCATTTCATATCTACATTTTGAAGTATTCATAATTTTTGAATCAATATAGAGATCAGTATAAATGTTCAGTGAAAATCTAATCACTCTAAAGTTCATCTTCTAGAATTTATTTTCAAAGTGAATGCACCGTATATAATTATTTCTGCAGTTGATCGTCAATAGCATGGATCACCGATGTTAACATATGCAGTTTTACCTTACGTGGTTGACTCCACGTGGATTATTAATCCAAAATCAGATGACCAGAAGGGATAAGCAGCAAGGAAGTTTGACAGTACAGAGAACCAGCTGTTCAACAAATATGCAGAAGGAAATGGAGATGGATTGGACGTGCGCTGGGGAGACTGCTGAGTGATAATGTACTCCAGACGATTTTAGTAAAGTCTGAATGGGAATCGACTAGTTGGGTATCCAGTAGGTGAAATGAAGAAAATTTTTATAAGGAAGAAATGGAATTTTACAGGTAATCGTTGAACTAGGTAAAAATGACTGCAGAAGAACGGAACGGAAATATACTGCTGAAGCTGTATGTTCCACTGGAAATTCAAGGGAATAATAATGCAAAATTTAATGCAGTTAACTCATGGCATGCATAAATCAAGTAATATTTACACTCCCTCATACAACTAAATGTTTATATTTTTAGTATTTTTAATATATTTATGCGTTGAAGTTCCTGTAGCAATTTGGTCAAGTTTTAGGGGTGGAGTTATTAGCACCACGCCCCAACCCTCCCTCTTTATCAGGGCTTGGGACCGGCTAGAAAACTAGCGAGGTAGTAATATAGGCGAGGTTTTCGCGGATGATTTATGTTTGATGTCACACAAAATCGAAGACTTACAAGCGAACGAAAACCGACAAACTGCTCGAAGAAGCAGCCGGCGAAGAATAGACTCCAGGTGAACAAGGTGGACAAGACGGAGGTTATGAAAATAACCAACCAACCAACAACAACAACAACAGAAACATCCAGCTCCAATCACCATCAGTGGGAGGGATTTGAAACAGCTTACTTCATTCACTCACTTATCTAGGGAGGGAGAATTGTCTCATCTACAGGAATTCGGAAAGGACGAGGATGTCAAATCGAGCGAGAATCGGGAAGGCAGGCGAGAAACACATTCATCATCAACCTGAAACCAATCTGGAAATCTTCGTCACTCAGCCAGCATCAACAACAAAATTCGGTTGGATTTTCAATACAAACAACATCAAGTCAGTCAGTTCACCTATACGGATGAGAAGCTTGGCGGGCGAGCGGGCGGGTGACAAAGAATATTTCCAACAGCCTTTTGCAGACCAGACCTTTATCAACCTACAACTGTCTTCTCCGGATCTATACTGAAGATCAGATCAGATGGCCGGCCGGCCGGGCCGGACAGAATCACCAACAAGAAACTATGACTGAGAACAAACAAAACAAAACAAGAACCAACCAATCGCCAACCAATAAATATGCATGAGAAATTGGAGATGCATTGGACACTCGTGGCTGAGAAGGCCGGTTGGTGACATCGCGCGCGTCAGGCCATTGCTCGAGTGGAACCAGGCCGAAAGGGAAGCAAGCGGCGAGTGGGACGTCAGTGGGAGGGTGATATGGAGGAGATCGTGTGAAGAGGAGTTGAAACAATATGGACTAAGATGGATGCAGGTGAAAAGTACAGCAGCAGAAGACAGAAGCAAGTGGAGAGGTGCAGTTGAAGCCCTATGTTCCACTAGGGACCCAAGGGAACAATAATAACATTAATAACACCTTCGTCATTCAGCTCATTTGAGATTTATGTCATGAATTGCTTGTTATAATACAAGTAAATGGGATTAATTTTGTATACATACTTCATTCAGGCAAAAATACAATGAAATATAGCTTGTATACGTATGATATGTTTATATAATTGAAAAATTTGCTAAGGTGTGGAAATGCACAGGCTCCCATTTTTCTGAAAAATATGAGTGACACTTTATGACTGATGGAAGGAATCGAAAAATCACTCTCCTAGTTCTGTGTCAGTTTGTTTATTTGATATAGCCTACAGTGTTGCAGTAATATTGACTGGACCATGTAGTAACATTGAAGTATGCACTTACAATCTTTCACATTGCTTAACTTCAACTTTTGCACGGTTTAAATTCCTTTTAAAAATTATCCTCAGTTCAACATCTGAAATATACTTCAATAATTTTTAGAATTTACAAGTATTGGTTTTGTAGGGATTTTGTTTGATTGTATGAGGGATTTCACCATGAGCTGACATCATTTAGGGAACCACTGGAAAACCTGGTAGTACTGGATAGCTGTTTCGTCCTAGTTTGGGCCTCTTCAACAGTACGCATCCATTTACCATTATGTCTGAAGTTTCACGTAATCAATCGATCAACAAAGTTAAATTATGTACTAACCCACTAACTACTAGATATCAATATTCTTTGATAAACTTCAGTCATCCGTGTTTATTTAGGATATCCACGATACTTAGGTTCGTCTGTAAATCGTTAAATTACTGACTTTTAATGAAGAAAAGTATTCCCAGTGTTATCTGCATAATGTCTTCTATACTAAAACTTGAACTATTCATTTTGAGAACTTTCCTTGGAAATATATTTTGCAGGTGATCAGATTCTGTGAAAAACAGTACAGATTTTATTGAGATTACCTAACACTTCATCTCATAATGGAATACCATAATATCGTTTAAGTCAATGTGCAATACAAGCCATTTCTAGATTATATACGCAGGTAAAAATAGAAGAAAAATTTCAGTTGACTGTATTATATGCGAGAAAACTGTGTGAGGAAGTTTTCTTTCAGTTATTGTTACCTCCTTTCAATGTTTTATCGAGCATAAATAATATGTGGAGTAGAGTGCTAGGAATTTATCTTTTAATCGAAACCTGTAGTATTTTCTAATGTCGTTCAATATACATGAGTTTGTTAAATTCTTCTTGGAAGGTGAATATTTGTACTGATTCTCAGATGAAGTCATTTCAAGTCAGATCACGGAATGATACTAGTTAAAGAACAACTGAAAACCATGGAGTACTGAATAATCACTTCATCCAAGTACGCACCCATAACCGCACTGGAGTTCAAACCCAAGACAGTCAGGTAATGACACGAACACGCTGACGAGGAAGCTATTGGGACAAAATCCAACCGCTGATGAATTCTAAATTCTGTCAATTTACCATTTACACTGCCGTCGTCAACCAATGTCATCCGTGAGTATTGGTCTTCACACACGACGTGTTAGACTCTCTCGTTAAAACTTCAGGCAACTTCATCCCTCAATCAGTCGATAGTAAACATTCGATTAATTCTCATGCGTCATTGGTGAGTACTGGCGAAGAGTCCCTAGTCAGGACAAAACAGCTGTCTAGTAACCCCTTGTTTTTGAGGATTCTGTGTCTAATGTTATTCTGTGATCTAACTTGAAACCCATCAAATCCCAGTAAACCAAGAGTTGTTTATTTCTTAAGCTGATCAGAATATCTAAACATCTAAGAACCTTTATGCAATCTAATTGATTTCATACTTAGCGTTAAGTTAAATGGGAGTCACTGATGGCACTGTTTAGTTAAAACATATATAAACGGCAATATGAGTAACATGAGTAGATTTCTTCTTCTTAACCCCGAAATTTAAAGTAAAACAAATGAAGGATAGTTTTAGCATATGGAATACTAAACATACGAGAAATAAAGAAAAGAAAATAGTTCATTGTCCACAGGATTTTACCCGGTTGTAATTGAAAATACAATATATATTATACTGATTAACTTGAGCTCTGTGGTTCACGTTTATTTAGCTTTCTGCGATATTAGTAATAAGAACTACTATACTACTAAGGAAATCTGAATATTTTAATTACAGATATTTTAGAATATACCCATGACTTTAAGTTTAGAGTCCCTCATCTTCACAGGACTGTTTAGAAGTCACTGATATCTGCCGAAATTACACTATTTTTCATAAAATGACCTAAACGATAACAAAAACAAACACTGAAAATAATGCATAGTAATGATAACAATTATTATTATTTTCCAAAAATTATTTTGTAAGGATTTTATTTGCTTCTAGTGAGAAGTCGTAACCAGTGGGAGCCACCCACCGATGACATTGGCTAATGGTCGCGCTATAATCACTAATTGGTAGAGGTTCGAGTTCATGGGCTGGCCATTGATTCAGGTGCCAGTAGCTGAATGGTTGACAAGTTTGCTTGCATCCGAACGCCAGTGGGTTCGCACTGCCAAAGAGTCCCGAAATAAGGCGAAACAGCTGTTCAGTACTTCATGGCTTCCAATAGTTATCTAACTGGTATCAATCCGTGGTCAAACTTGAAATTATTGTTATTATTATTTAGTTGATGCTTTACTAATAAACAAGTAGTTAATAAATGTGGAAACAGTTAGATCATAGTGATATGCAACTGATTTTATTGCACTGTAGTATATTGTTTACCGAACTATGGTGATTATTATTGTTATTATACTGCATTCACATAATTAAATGTAAAAATTCTGTTCATTCACTTGCGAACTGATAGATAGATATATAGATACTTTTAAAAATTGTTTTTTCAACTACTTTCGTTTTATTTTTTCCAGTAAAAACAATGTGTCGTATACTGTATTTCTAAATTTGACGAAGTATTTAAAAAATGAGAATAATTCGGTAGTTTGGGAAACAGTGTTACAACCATTTAACTTTCTTTATCACATGCTTGGTTTAACTGAGAGTTATACACATTTTCAAGCCTATCAACAGTCTCTCTTAGACAAGCCACTTGAATCAGTTGATTGGGTAACTATAAAAGAAGATCAAGATTTTGAAAAAGGGTAAGTTGTTAATCTGATCTCACCTGGAACATTTAGTTGTTTCAGAGTTACTTTCTGTGAATATGTACTTATGTACACTGCAAATGATAATCTGGTTTTATAAAACGTCTTTTCAGTCATTTTCTTATTGGATTCACTCGCTTTTACTTGAGCTATAACTATTTATGTAATGCATGGGTGTGGAAATCTTAACTCTTTACCAAACTGTATCTGGTACTTAAAATATATTTTGAAAAGTGTACTTTTATGGAGATGTCAAGTACTTCTGCTTTTATTTGGTTACCTTTTTGTCTAGTTTCTTATCACCGATATCCAATGCGTTGTTCCACAGTTATTTCAATATTCATGAAGCTGCGTCAAACGTCCACTACGCCTAGATGTGAACCAAACATATCTCGAATTCAAAGAGAGATGAAACGCAACTGACAGTTCGCAAATTAGTTAGCAGTCTGAAATGTACACAGTTAAAGGGTTGAAATTCTCACCACAGTTTGTTTTGGAAACCAAATTATTTATATCAAAATATGTCATATACTTGATCTACTCGGGTAGTTTGAACTTATTCGGCTCTCTGAGATAAGTCAGACACCACTGATGAGCTCTGCCGCAAATGAGCGAAATGACTGTCTGGTGTTTAAGTCACCTCGATCTGGCTAGTAAGAACTACTGGTTGATATGAGTAATGCACAACTACTAACCTCAGTCAATCAGTAGTACATAGTTTTATACAAAGAAAAATGAAATGCTTTAATAAATGTATTATATAAGTATCTCTAAGCACATTTTTGAAAATCTTCTCCACCTTTTTTGAGTGGCAGTCAAACTTTAACAGTGTGTAGTGTTCATACTATTTGGAGCCCACTACTGAAAATAATAAGTGGTGCGGGCTTCTAGAGTTAATCAACGGCAATTACGTTTAATATATTCTTTCAACTGTCCTGAAAACTTTGATGAGTGCCTCAGAAATACTCATAGTATTCGGTATCGCGAAAAATAAATTAATAATTCTCACTGTCTCTGATTCCTACAATGATAAATTCGATAAGTCAAAGTGGCGGAATAAATTTCCATAATAAAATTTGATTTCTTTCTGCATAAAAACCCATTTAGAATATAGATTCCGAGTTTAGAATTGTAATCTATCTATTAGACACTGTAAGCTTGGCAGGGAATTTACCCTGAAGAAGGATCTCATGAAATGCAGGTATTATTAAATATTTTACATTGTGAAAGAAAGGTTGTGACTAGTTCTCACAATTAAAATAAATGCTTAAAAATATAAGAAAGATACTGCGTTAATTATTCATGTCATGCACGTTAAGTTCACATGAAAGTGCCAGGAATACACTGTTACTACAGCCGAAAGTAAAGTATGATTTGAGCTTCTAATAAATAATACTACGTCACTCAGTTCTTACAAATTAAAGCATATCAGATTGTAAGTTGGGCCCCTATATGTCATCAGTAGATTTACTGAGAATCATATTTGAGTTAATCGATTGTCTAGTAAGTGTAATGGTAAAATTAGAATATCTGTCGTAATAATATTGCGGAATGCTTCGCATTAGTTAATTTGATACTACTGTCAACCTTCGTTCATTTGCAGCGAATATGCAAATCTTTTTTGGGTTATTAATTTGGAAGCTTCTGCCTCAAAACCTGTCAGGATCTAGATTTCCACTTTACTTTCAATTATCACTGATTACATCATTAGAAATCTGAAAGTCCTAGAGTATTCAGGATATTTATTTACTTTAGACGACCTGTCCATTATTAAAACTGAGATAAGTTGGAGTGTTAGAAGTCGCATTTAAAAACATTTATTTTTTTCTCCATAGTTTATGTACTGTTTTATTGCTAAGTCTTTTATTTTTACTATGACGTAATAACTTTCTCAGTAGTTCAACTCATTTTATTCTCCCACTTTTGGTCTATTTTTACAGCTTGCGACGAGAATACTTAGTTCATCTCGCCTGTCAAGTGGAACATCCATTGTGTGTACGGAATGCCACAGAACTATATAATCAATGGGTGATTAATCCCTCAATAAACCCGTTAGTTATTCTTTTTGGATTAAACAAATCATTAATACTTAACTTATATCCAGCTTTAAAGAAATATTGTTAAAATCGGTTGTGTTCTATGCTAGAAGGTTATATGGATCAAACCATTTTTGAAATAGGTTACACCTAACACATAGCAGAAAACTTCGAGTGTTTCCTATGCAATTCTCTTCTGTCAAACGCAAGATGATGCAACAGAACTGGACTAAATTTACTCCTGGATTAAAGATAAGCAGTGAATTGGTAGAGCGTGTTGACGACTTCAGCTATTCGGGAAGTTCTATCAGCCCAAACGAGTTGGTCGCTGACAAAATCTCAGCATGAATACAGAAGGCTCGTATGATATATGCCAACTTACACCAACTATGGCGTAGACATGATATCCGGCTGACGACTAAAGGACATGTATACTGTTCAGCTGTTCACTCTGTCCTCTTTTACAGTTGTGAGACATGGCCATTGAAAGTTGAAGGTATGAAAAGGCTATCTGTTTTGACCATAGGTGCCTGTGTTCTATCTTCTATGTTAAGTGGTATAATACGTTGAGTAATATTGAAGCTAGGTGTAGAGTGTTAGGCAAGACGTAAAAATCAGTCGATGAGGTTGTGGAGGTGAACTGAGTGAAATGACTTAGATACATATTTCGCATACCAAACCATTGCCTTCCTAGAGAGGTAATGTTAGCTGATATCGGATTAGGTCGAAAAAGAGTTAGAGGTAGTAAAACGAAAGCCTAACAACAATCTATGAAATCTTTGAATTCGGTTTGAGCCATGTAAGGAGATGTAGACTGCTTGCCTGAGACTCTGAGAACCAATGTTTGGTGATATGGTCTCACATATCCATCAGACCGTCATATTTTTCACGTTACTATTCTTTCTCTAGCACATTTCTGCTTATTGTAGGTCTTTTGAATAAATTTTTCTCCACTCGTTCGTTTCCTTTTGTATGCTACATGGAGTACATTTTAAACACTCGGTGTTTTAATTATTTGTAAATGGGATTCGAAAAGAAAACGTGGAGATTAGTCACAATAATTCTGTTATTATAAGTTATTTAATACAGAATTCAACTCATTATTGCATCATGCTTTTCTGTCCGAACACACATTTCAAGCAGATGAAATGCACAGATTATTTAATGAGGGTCTATGAAGACACATATAATTGTATTCCCTTACAAATGAACCAAGTCATAAGTGTTATTAAGAATATAAGTAATTAAAATATAACATCACGGAGCAAACAAATATTCTTTTTTGTTTAAGTGTGTGAAATGATTTTCTAGGTAGAATTACGCATCAAACCATTGAGAGACAATATAATTTACTACAAAAATAAAATTATGCAACTTCATATCTAACTTTATTATTTGAATGGAGTTCATGCTTACGAAAAACGAATAACCGATCAGAAAGGCTAATTAGACTGACTGATTTAGATTTAGGTCTTACAATGATTCATCATGACATATACAAAAACACTGTACTGAGTTAGGGCATCATTCAAATTCACAACACTGTTTGAATTAATGAATAAATAAGAGAGCTTCAAGTGGAAGTCGTATGCGCTGGTATCGGGTGAAATCTTACTCAACCATTAGCATAGAGAATGACTGCTTGCGAGTTATAGTTTACGGTGAATAGTTTTGTCGTGTCAAGGGTTTTTTTCGTAGTTTGACATAAACTGGCACGAAACACAAACACATGTGAATTGTGTTCACATTCCATGAAATTAATATTACTAGTAGGTAGGTTGTTTTCCACTCAGAGTTTGCTTATCGATTTTTAAGAGATTTGCATTGACAACTTATCTGTTTTACGTTACTCGTAAAATGTGATATTAATTGGAGAATCCATATTAGCATATGAAATCATGGCTGATTCTTTATTTATTACCTACAAGCTTGTTTCCTTAAAGAACTGACATCATTTGAGAGAATCATTGAAAGCGAAATGACACTAGGTGATTTTTGCTTCCTAGTTTGGAATTCTTCAGGAATGTGCAATTATCACCCTACTAGGCTTTGAGACCAAAACTATGAAATTAAAAAAGGTCATTTTACTATTCAGTGAGTGTGAATTTATTGGCTGACGACTTTTATATTTTGTCAATTTTCTTTATGGAACTCACTGCCATTCAGTGCCAGCATCTTTGGATTAGTTTTTTAGTAGTGTTATCTGAATAAACTCTGTTGAACACACTAAAATAAATAACTGATAAGTATTTTCCCGTGACCACTTTTCATAGTTTGTTTTGACCTTAGAATCACTTGGTTTCTGAAGTAAGAATAGAACTTGTACACTGTGGTAAAGTATAATTCTGTTATGGATAGAATTTATTTTGATAAAGTCACACAGTAAGTAATATTTACTGATGACGTTTCGAGCACAGTTTATTGCTACTCATATCAAGGTACTCATGTGGTGAGAGCTGGCTGTTAGTCAAAATTGGTGGACAGTAATTTACCTCAATGTTTATATCCTCAATATTGGTCGTGAGAAAAATGAGAACAAAGGCTTTGCGTAGGCGGATACAGTTACATATAGATGATCTGACATTCAAGAAACAGCCACAAACAGATGCAAGGTAAACTTTCTGTGAGAAACAACCAATCAGAAGACTGTGTTTTTCTGCTAAAAATAATCTATAATAATGTACATGAAAATCTACAAATTTGTGTTGATTTCCTTAAAAAAAATCTGTTCCCTGGCCCTTGTCTTCTGTTGTTACACTCACGCAACTTGGAGATAAGCTCTGTAGGCTAAAGGATCCTGGTGACCTAATCAGACAGATTAATATAATTTAAAACATACCTTACAATGACTGTGAGCTGAGTCAACTAGATAGGTCAAATCAGTAGATCGGGAGTAGTTAGATTGTTAGAACATGAGTTTAGCTAAGGTTAGAATGATAAATCAAAATAAAATCTTATCCATAATGGAGTTACTTCAGTTCACAATACAACATTCTAACAAGTTATTTATTTTACTAAAAAAATCCTCTTATTTCCCATTATATTAACTAAAAACATTCGTCTTAATTCTCATCGTATTATGTTTTAATGATAACGCTGATATTACCTCCGAATCATATATTTCACGCATTTCCATTGGACTTTATATTGATTTTTATTTATTCATTCATTCATATGTCTAATAATTTTCTAGTCACATATACAAACGAAGTCAGAAAGTTGTATGGGTACCTTGATATGATTATGAGTAGCAATAAACTGTGATCGAAACGTCATCAGTAAATATTACTTAGTGTATAACACTATGAGAATTTATCAAGATAAATTTTATCCACAATGGAATCACTTGGTTTTTGTTTTCTTCAATCTCTTTTATTAAGCTTAAATGTCTGGCAAAAGCTGTAAATTTGTACAGCTGATCTTTACACTCAAATGCATAATCAAAAAAACGATGCGTGAGAATTATCTCTGATGTTTACACTATATATTTAACTAACTTTTAAAAATTTTGGAATATTTTCCAGTTCATTACCTTGGTTAATATTTTTTTAGGATACCACGAAGCTTGAGAAGGACTGTGTATTGTTCAGCTATACGTTCCGGTAATGCAACACATTGGGAGTTTCTAAGGCAGAGGTTATCTGTGAAGGGCAATGATCATGAGGAAATGTATAACATTTTACAAGGATTATCTTGTTCAAGTAATGTCGAGACTATGAAAAAGTAAGCTGACCGGTACTGAAAGTCAACTAATTCATTTGAAGTACTCATTTTTTATAGCTTCTTATAGAGTTCATCGATTTCTAGGGAGTAGTTGAATGTCGATGCCACGATTGTCAATTAACTTTTGATCCCTTTAAGAATTCATAAATCATTTTATTAATATTATCTGTCAGAGAGTCCATGTCAGTGTTAGGTAAGCAGACTGGCTTGAGGCCAGTTTTTAAGTAAAGGCCTTAGGGTTAAATAGAAGACTGTACAATAAACAGTTAACGAACACTGACTAAAACTAACACTTTATCCTCCCTATGTGAACAAAATATAAAATTAAAAAAATCTTGAAGTCAACAACGCTCAGAACTTTACTTGGAGATTGTTCTGTCAGATAAATTAACAAAGATCTTGACATTTTTGTTGACATTTGATAGGATAGTAGATGTACTGTGTAAAGAAAAGTCTATTTACTATGATAAAATGATTAACTGTATTTTGACATTTTCGTCACTAGGTATTCGAACTGGATATTACAGAATGAAGACCTCCAGTATGTGCTTTCAGATATTGCATCATCTCCAACTGGTAATCAAGTGCTTTGTCAAAGTGCAATAGACGAATTGAAAAGTGTTGTGAATGGGTAAGATTCAACTGTAACAAAGACTGTCATTAAAATTAACGAGAAATTAATTACACATTTTATTTTGGTAAAAGAGAATTAATTAGTCAAGAATTGAAGTGGAAATGAATTCATATTCAGAAAGTCACATTCGAACGACAGTAATCAGATTTGTGATGTCGTACTTCAGCATAAAACTATTGGTATAACATTTGATTACAGTCTGCAATTAGGCAGTTAATTTCTAGATATTTCTTCCACTTGATATGGTTTTACAATATGTTGACTTAGGAATCCTTTTTACATGCTTCATTGAATAAGATAGCCCATGAATTTGCATAAACCTATCCTGCTTTCTTACTAGTGATTTACAATGATAAGGTAAAGTGACTTATTCATGACTAAGCAGAATTTCAAATGATAATTCAAAAATATCAGTAGGGTTGCTTCTTGCATAAACCTATATTTACCTTAAGTGGAATAAGACTACATCTCTGTATCCGATGTCAACCGGCGTTTTCTACACAGTATGATCGCCGACAAATATCGGTATTAAAAGATGTCAAAGCTAGACACCTGAATGTTTCATTTAGATTTTTTGACCTTGTAGCTTGTTTCCAAAATGCGCTAGTTATGTGTCCCCTCCCACACTTAGAAATTCATTCTTCTATCACCTCCTATTTCAACGAATTTATTTTGTGTGAAAAATTAGCATGTACAGAATAGCTTCCTATCTTCTGGTTATTTCCTCTAAGCCACTATTTTGGTTGTCAGAAATTTTGGTGCGTTTTAGACACATTGTCAGCATTGCAGCTGTTCAGTTTCAGGCGAACATTTATAGTGACTCGTTTTGTTTAAAACTTGTGACTGTTTCGTAAATGGGTGTTAAATTTAATGAAAGGAAAATATAGAGATTACCAGATTACGTCATGAACAATAAAGACATTTTTTGCCGCAACTATTCTTTTGTTTTTCCTGTGAATAGGTTTCAGTTTGCTTCTCTTTGCGTAACTCAGCAGTGTTTTACCACTTAGAACAGACATTTGAATCTGATTTTCCTGTGGTCAGAGAACGACCTTATTCAACAGACATTCTTTATCTTCTGTAGAGAGCTTGAAGTGACTTATTTGACAAATCAAGATGTACTAGTGTTGGTTTGTAGGGATTTGATTGGTTTCAGGATTTCATCGTGAGCTGACATTAGTTAGAGAATCATTGAAAACCAGGGAGTACTGGACAGCTGCTGTTTCATCCTAGTTTGGGACTCTTCAGCGTCACGCACCCACCGGGATTCGAACCCAGGACCTTCCGGTTACAAGGCGAGCTCTTATACCATTAAGCCACTGGGACCTGTTCCAATGGTCCTTGAATTCTAACTTCTGCCAATTCACGACATAGCGAAACCGCTGGTATTAGTTTAACTACCTGTTTTGTTTCATTATAGGTTTCTTATATTGAGGCGAAATGAATGCTATAAACGAAAGCAGGTTTTCCGATATTCTGGATGAGAAATCTCGTAGTGAAGTACACTCACTACCAAAATACTATGACTGAGTGCACGAAATTTTTGCACTAACGACATTATTATTGCTAATTGCTTAGTGTACACCTATGCTGTAAAGGAAGACGGTCAACAAAAACCCGGATACATTTCAAATCCAACAAATAAATGTTAGAACTTTCAAGTATTGGTTTTGTAGGGATTCTGTTTGGTTGCATGGAGGATTTCATCATGAGTACTAGACAGTTGTTTCGTCAGCCTAGTTTGGAACTCTTCAGCAGTACTCACCCATCGGGGTTCGAACCCAGGATCTTCTGGTTACAAGGCGAACTCGTAGACCATTGAGCCACTGGGATCTGATCCAATGGTCCTTGAATTCTATTTTCTGCCAATTCACGACACAGCGCGACCATTTCGCAATTTTTTCTTCGATAAGGTACGGCCTCATCTTCAACCTGGAGAAGTTAGAATTCAAGGACCATTGGATAGGGTCCCAGTAACTAAATGGTCTACGAGCTCACCTTGTAACCAGAAGGTACTGGCTTCGAACCCCGATGGGTGAGTACTGCTGAAGAGTCCCAAACTAGGCTGACGAAACAGCCGTCCAGTACTCCCAGGTTTTCCAGTGGTTCTCTAACTAATGTCAGCTCATGATGAAATCCTGTAACCAAAAATAGAAGTAGTTTTATGTAATCACTTTATATTTAATACTTTCGGTAGCAAACTTCATATCGGTTTCAAATACTACACTGTTATTTTTATTATTCCTTTGTCTGATGTCAGCTCATGATGAAATCCTCCATGCAACCAAATGTTAGAACTGTTTTGGAAAACATTTAATTTATGATCTTATGAAATGAAGGTATTTCGGTGTTCATAGCTGTCATATTATTACTTACAAATGTATGATTTGGCTCTAAACTCGAAGCGAAACTAATTGACAAATAGAAATAATTCCTATACAAGCATTAATGAGAAGATAAGATGTTCTCTTAACTGGTGAAATCACTGTGGTTCCTCTACATGTACATATGTATATATATATATATATATTTATTCTTTTTTATGAATTCGAATGAAGCGAGAACAGCAGTTTTAGCAGAATAATACGGTATTATCATTTATTTCGTTGGCTTATCATCAGCTGCTTACAGCAAATTTTACTTGATGTCAGTTGACAGGAGGTTCCGGACGTAGTGAACAGTGCTCAGAAAATTACGCTTTTTCCCACTGTGACTTATTTGATGTTTGAGCCTTCACATCTTCCATATTTGTTAATGAATCTTTGAGGGTAACCGTTGTTTTTCAACATCTTTCCGAAAGTCATAAATTTTTCCTGTAATTTCTATGTAGTACTGAGTCTTAACTAGTGCATGTTTAAAGTTAGTTGGGCATTACCTACATTTTGATAGTTTTTGGTTTTGAGATAATGTGTGATAAAAAGTCTGCCAAAAGAATTGGTACCAAAACACCCACTTTCCGGCCATTGTCTTCATTCAACTCGATTTTAAAGGTGAAACTATTTCAGGAGTAGTCAACGGAAGATTGGGTACATCACTAGCCAGAGTCTACCCTGAAGCTAAGTTGGTCCCTGTGTATTGAACAGTATGCTTTTTGGTGCAGTCAAAAGTCCACAGATATCCTTCTCTTGTTAACACCAGCGTGTATACAAATTTATGTGTATCTGTGGAAGCAGTTACCTTGGGGGGACAGAAAGAAGGGAACATCTTCGATTTTCTGAACATGTGCCGGAAAGCCTACGTCTCAAGGGCATAAACGCTTAGATCAGCGCCATTACCACACATCTCCTTTGAGGTGGAAATTGCATAATCCTTTAAAATTATCAATAAACCCAAAAGCTCATTTCTCCTCAAGTTAGCCTAAGCAATCTCTATCAAACGCCTGAAACATGACTTATGTATTCAGAAAGAAGCAATTATCAGTCTTTCTTTGCTCTGCTGCCTGGTAACTGGATGTCTTTATTCTTTCTTTTGTCTGATTACGTAATCTTTGGCTTTAACTTTACCTCCTCCCCTCTGATATAGTTTAATTTTTCTTCTCTCTTGTTTCTATGATCTAAGTTGAACTAATTTGTAAGTCAATCATCATCTGACGCATCTCTCGTCCTTATTACGTAACTCCTTCACCAGTGTGTGCATACATTTACTTTGTTCAAACTTGATCTGCCTGTATAAAAACTATATAGGCGTAATTTTCTCAGCACTGTTAACTAATTCCGAAACCTCCTGTCAAGTGACATCATGTAATATTTACAAGTATGTTAAACCTTTTCTGTACGTAAACCTAATAATTTATTAAGTCTGTAAACAGCCAATGAAATAATTGATGATACCATATTATTCTGCTAAAACTGTTGTTCTCGCTTTATTCAATATTATTTCTAATTTAAATAATTAAGTTACAGCTATTGTAAGATGACACATATATAGTGATGTATCTAAGAGTAACTAGTGATTCTTTCCTGTTGTTTCTTCATCCCAGATCCAAGACTACTCAGCAAGGGCCAAAAATGTGAGTCCAAACGTATTTATCACTCATATTAATTTATTCTATTACTATTTTGTAAGAAGTTTTTGATATTTTATGTAAAAAGAAGTTATTCATTACTAAAGAAATGTCATTTTCAAAAATACCCAGTTAGTACGGAATGTTATATGTTGTACTTTGTTGTTAATAATGCTTATATCTATTGTTCATCCCATTCAAAAAACTCTGTGTACATCTTAGTAACTTTTGAAACAAAATTACAGGAACAAGATTCCTGAAATTATCAAATGTTGCTCTGTAGGGATTTTATTGATTTAAGCTTTGATCAGTAAAATGCTTGCAAACTAGCACTTAAAAGAAACTGACTGAAGTTCAAGTGAGAAGTTGTAACCAGTGCGGTCTACCAGGCTGCGTGTGAGGACAAACACTAGCCTGGTGGTCTTGGCTTACGGCAGCGTTATACATCGCAAATTTGCAAAAGCTAGAATTCGTGGGCTTCTTGGCCAATGAGATTGCCTTGTAACCCTAAGGTCCTAGATTTAATCCCTGAAAGGGCCATGAGGGCATACTATTGAAGAGCATCTAACAAGGGTGAAGCAGCTATCCACTAGTCATTGGTTTACAGTAATTCTCTAGCTGACGTCATTTCTGAAACTAACATTTATACATTCAAAGTTGTCAGTGTCTACAGAGAGCTGAAAATTGTTCACATGCCCTCGAAGTAATCAAGCTGTATTTACTTCTGCTATGAAGATTTTCATTTTGACTTCAGTTACTATCCATACACCAATATACAGCTGAAGAAAGGCAAAGCGCCTAAAAATATTGTAAGAAAACTGTTGTTAACAAATTCAAAATCATTAGTAGGCACAGGTTGAACTTACTACAAAACTGGCGAATTAAAAGCATTTCTTATAAATCTAAAACAAAGGCAAAAATATTGCATATGCATAATCGTCTACTTACTGTAATGAGGAATATAGAACTTTGTGAATACTTACAGGCATGCTATGGCTTCTTGGCTGTTTGGTTCGTGTTTAAGTTAGTTCTGCCTTAATCTTTACTGATTAGTTACATTCAGGTCTTGAGAAAGTTTCATAAGTGAAATAACATGACATGATAAACACTGAATAATTTTTACTAAGGATTATGTGAACTGTTTGTCGAGATACACACTTAGTATAAGTGATAAAGTCACTAACTTATATGACAAAGCAAGGAATAATCGATCGCATAACTAATAAGAGATACTCAAATCTGTATGAAGTTGTCACTCTAACCAAACTTGCAGATGGGATAGGTCTTAATACCACTATTATTATACCGTTGGGTTCCAAGTGGAACATAGGGCTTCAACAGCATATATCCATTTCACTCTGTTCTCCACTGTCCTCTTCAGCTGGCTCAACGTTTGTCCATAAGCTCTTTTTTTTAACATCATAAAACTCACTAACTACAGATATTGAAGAACTTATTACAACCCGAAATTTCTTTGTTTTAAAAAGTCACAATAATACAAATGGAAATGTTATAAAACTGTGCGATTTCGGTTAATTTATCATCTAATTTGTTTGTTTATTTCAGTCAACGTTTAGTGGAACTGCTAGATACTTTGTCTGAGTATGGAGACGTTTTAATTGATGTTGCAAAGCAAGCAGAGGTTAGTTAAACTTCTATTTGACACAACTCGAACAAATTCATTTCTGTATGTTGACTTTTTATATGGATGATTTGATTTTAAGACTCATGCATGAGAAAGCCCTACTTGATCTAAGTTTTGTGCTAACTAGTACTTATCAGAAAGACGTATCTGAAATCTTGAATAAATCTTATGACTTCTCTGATATTTGAATCTAACGCATTCAGTTTTAAAGGTGGCAAAGTTAAAGTATCACATTCCCAGGAGTGCGAACGCTTCAGTGACCTTGAACGCACATTACTTTTATAGTGCCAATGTAAACGTCATTCACGAATTAAAGTGTAAATTTCACCTCGACCTTGTTTTTAACTACTGTATGGACAATGTGTTAATTGCTCGTTAGGGTTAAAATCAGGGTTACCATTAGGATTTGGGTTAGGTTTAGGGTTGGTATTATTTATTTTAATTAGTTTTATTATCCACATTTTCCTAATAAGTAGTCGTCGATCCTTTTACTGTAAACCGTAGTAGTTCAGTCGAGGGCTTGTGGGGAATACTGCAGGCCAGAATAAGAGCGATAAACGGGTCACAAAAAAATCTCATCTTCAGTCCCCACGGTGAATACATGTACAGAAGCTGGTCTTACTTAAAAACTAATACTCCTCATTAAAATCCGGAGTTATTTTGAAGTTGTGTCAGAGAAAGATAGCCTGTTTAATGTGTCTTCAAACATTTGTGTGCAAACCACTTATTTTCTTGATGAGTCGGCTCAAGGTTACTCGTGCGTTCACATATCATGGGACATAATACTTTTGCTTTACCTTAAAGATTATTACTAATCAGAATAGTTTATTCTGAACACTATTTTGATTTATGGTTGATAATATTCATGAGTTCAAACGTATTTTCAAGTCAATTAAGATCAAAGGAGTATAGTTAATGGAGATTTTGTAAGATAATATGCTGAATTCGAAGACATTGTAACGTGTTGCGTAAGTACATTCAATCTAAACTAGTTTTGAAATCTAAAAGACAAACATACAGTTGTACGTCAAATAGTAAACACTCATAAACAAATGTCTTTTCAATTTTTATTCTGTTATTTGATACAACGACAGTTTACAATCAAAGTGCTGGTAATCATCAATGACGGTTTATAGTTAAAATAGTTAAAATTAGTAAATGCGTAACTATAGGAGTAAATGATTCAAGTTGCACTCAGATACTTTGTAACTGGAATTTCATATGTTTAGCGGGATATCACTATCATAATTAAAAGTTGTATGGTAAACTTAACTCATCTGGAAAGTAGATAAATGCGATAGTTTAACAACAGAAGACAAGGGCCAGGCAACAGATCGTTTATTAAGGAAATCAGCACGTATTTATATATATATTTCATGTACATTATTATAGCTTATTCAAGCAGACAAACACAGTCTTCTGATTGGTTGTTTCCTGCTCAAGGTTATTCTGTACTTCTTGTGACTGGTTACTCAGAAAGTTAAGCCATATATTTGCGAATCGTATTTGCCCACGTTAAGTCTGCTGTGATTGCTTGTTGAATCAGTCTTGCTCATATTTTCTCACGGCCAATATTAGCGACATAGACATTGACGTAAATTAATGTCTACCAATTGGCTAGTAGCCTGCTCTCACCACAATAGAAGTTGTAGTGTTCATTTGCGGATTGCTTTCCAAAGACTAAAAGTGACTATTTTGTTAATTTTTAAGTAGACTGATAGTACATTCTCATGAGACATGTCTTCCGGAAAGCTATTTTCAACATGATTCCTTTCTACTCTACCGTAACATGGATACGATAGAAGCCTGAATTACTGTAATCGATTTTACAAAATTTTTGAAGACAGTTTCCATATATGTGCTTACCAATATTTAGCACTTCAACACTTCGAAATCTGTGTATACAGATAGTCAGATTTACCAGAGAATCTATAGTTAACATTTTTTCCACCAAACATTGGTCTCCTGGCCAATCACATGGATGCCACCAGAACTACACTGTTTCAGTGAATGTGCAATAACAAGCATATTTATTAAAAAGCAAAAATGTGATTTTCATTCTTGCGGTAACGATAAAATAAATGATGTTGAGTGATATTCTATACATTCTCATGAAAAAAATCTACCCTAATAAATCTGATTTACTACTAATGTAAGGTAACAGTAGAAGGCAAGACAAATAGGCGAAGGTATATTTTCAAGCCATTAAACAGCTATTAACATCTATACAGTTTATATTCTTTAACCAATCACTGAGCTTATGATTTTGGATTACATTAACCGACATGAAACACAATGTTCAACTATACATAGTATTCTGTTGCTAATGCCGAATTGAACTGTAGGAACATGTGAGAACAATATTTTGTTGGAACCCATTGTCTGTATCACATCACCACACTAATACATTAATTACATAGAAGATAAGTTTATTTGGTGTAACACACAGTCGTACAGTGTGAATAATTGAATCACGTTTCGAGTACAATTTATCTCTTCTAATCATATCGATGCAATTTCCTGACTTGCTTTATATGGTTTTTAAATACCTATCCTATCTAACACATATTCAGAGTAAGAGCTGCATTATCCCTTTTGCATGTCTTTAGCGTTGACTTGACTAACCGACATTTACTGACTAAACTGTTACTACAACCTAAATATATTACTTTTTATTACTTTTATCCTGTTTCACTTTAATGTGTGATTGCATGCAAGTGAATACATAGCAGTGGTCAAGCTTTTTTCGAGGTTACTTAGTTTATCAGGTGAATCATTCTAGATCTAGCAAAATTCCTATTTTCCGCTAATATAGTTGACTCCGATCTATAAGTTGGAGGATTCCATCATGAGAGGATATCAGTTAGAGAACCATTGGAAAACCTTGGAGTACTGGACAGCTGTTTCGTCCCAGTTTGGAACACTTTAGCTCATGATGAAATCCTCTAAGCAATCAAACGAAATCCCTACAAAACCAATGCTTGAAATCTGACCTATTAGTTTAACTGAATGTAATTGACGTCACAATCTCAAAGTGGTATTTGATAAGTCATTTAATTTTTTTCCTGACTGGATATATCAAGTCCTTTAGCTGGCAACGTTTACCTATCAGTGAATGAAACTATAATTCACTACAGTGTCCAAATTCTACTCTTACATTAATACATTCATCATTTATCCTGATAAAATGGTTAATACTGACCAAATGAAATTGAATGCATCACAAACAAGTCCAACATTTTGAATTTTTTTCAGATAATTGAATTGGGAAGACGTGCTATAGAAAGTTCTCGAATACCCATTCTACAGACGATATATGCAACTTATCTTCAAAGAGTCGAAAAAAATCTAAAATGGTTAAATACTTATGATGAGGTCATCAATAGCTGGTTGAAGGAAAATTTTGGGAAACAATAATCATCAGATTGAAAGCGGTCGAATTCTCAATCGATCAAAAATCAAACTTGATTCTTTTTTATTTTCATGTCTTAGTTTATTTTTCTGTAGTTAAATATGAACTTGTATTCATATGAATTATTGACCAACTGCGACAGTAAATTCTCTGTTTGCATGATGAATAATGAGCTTTTTTTCATCAAATTTTTGGTCAAATAATACATTCACCTTAATGAAAGTTGAACACTACTATGGAATACATGGCCAAAATAAATGTATGATCAGCAATTCCTTGTCACGTCTTAGTTGGTTGAGCTGTTCTCTGTGTTCTTTAATCAACGGATTATTGCGCTTAGAATTTGTATTGAGCTACTGATGGAATGAGTCTAGAATTGTTGACTTAAAACGTTTGAACTCCTCTTCAAAGATCGGGAATAGAGCACTAATCTGATTGATCAAATTTTTACACTCTACATATGTATGGAGTCTGCCAGTGTTTTGGTTCATGTCGCAGAATTTTGCTGCGACAGACGAGGCCTCCAGTTATATAGGAGATAAACGCCTAGCTTTCACTGGGAATATGAGTACGGTCAGGGAGAGGCGCACAAAGCCGTCCATTTAAACCTATTAAGCAGCCTAGAAGCCACTGAAATACGAAGCAAATTTCAGGAAGATGCTGCTAAATTTGTTTTCAGTCATTCTTCAGTAACTTTGATCAGCCGGACTAGTGATCTGTTGGTATTAGATGGTTGAAGGCAATCGGCAGGAAATCTTGGACTTACGTTTCGTGCTAGTTGGCACTCATCAGCAAGGCGTATGTGCAACGTTGAAGGAACTCGACCAACAATTCACAGTGCAGCATAATGGCGAGTCACCTAGCCTGGTGGCCACATTGCAAGCTTGACTGATAGAATTCAGTCTGCAGTGAAGATAGGACTAGACACATCACACTAGTTACTGACTAGTGTGCGATCAAAAAAAAGACTAGTGATCTATTCCCAGTCTCTGAAGAGGATTTCAAACGTTTTAAGTCAACAATTCTAGACTCATTCCATCAGTAGCTCAATACAAATTCTAAGCGCAATATTCTATTGATTATAGAACACAGAGAACAGCTCAACCAGAATAAATGTACCAAGAATAATTGCTGGTTCTCTTCTCTTTATATCGTAGTTTACATCTAACAGTACTAAGTGGTATTTTAGTGCACCTTCTTAGGCACCAAAATAAACCTAGGGATAAAATCAACAGACCAAAGTCAGTCAAATCAATAGTAACTAAACAAACGTCTAGCCTAACTGAGTATGCTTTAGTTGTTTTAATTATTCTCTTAAGGGGTATTCATCAGGCCAGGCTAGGAAACCACTCTGTGTTCCTTCCTTGTGATATTAACATGCCCCGTCTCTGAATTCGTAGTTCAGTCGTACCAGCCACATAGGGTCTAAAATCCTTTCCCTGAATAACCCTGAATTTTTATTCGATTTAAATATACTCCTCACCATAATATACTACTAAATAACTGAGTGTTTTTGATTTCTGGTTTGTTATGAGTAATTACAAGTCAGATAGTTTACTGGTTGATGGGATAATTACGCAGAATACGTTAAGTAAGGCTGGTGTAGTGTAGCACATCATTAGCACAAGTAACTTATAGTATAATCATTGGTAAGATTTGTGAATGATTTATTCGTAATTCACCGATTACCCTTTATTCGAACAGTCAGATTTCTTGTATCACTTCACAGTAATCATGTTTTTATTGGATGTTTCACCTTCTAGATTATAGAATGAATGTGGAAATCTGTACGCGTGATTTTATTAGAAATGAAAAATCAAGTTATTATTAATTGTTGTCATAGTCCCGGAGAAGATTGGTTACCACTGCATAAGACCTTTGGCTGTTGTTGGTGAAATCAGGATAGTCACTCCGCCAGTGGGTTCGTGGTTTTCATCTGGGTAACCGGAGTAGATTACTCTACTTGGACTTTCTATAGTGAAATTCGATGTCTTTATTGTGCACATTTGTTTTGTCTTCTTTGTAGTAGTTTCAGACGCCTGGGTCTGTTATGGAATTGAGGGTTAGGAGAAAAGAGTCACTTAGGTATAACCTGAAATTAGGGTGGGAGTTATTGAAATATAAGATACCACATGGCCCTAGTACACTACCCTGAATCACTCCATTGTGTATAGGTGTGAGTGACGAGTAATTATTTGAGAATATCACAACTTCGGAACGGCCTTCCAAAAAAAACTGAGCTATGATAACAAGGGGTCTCGGAACCCGTACGACTTACGCTTAGGATTATTCTCTTGTGTAGGACTTCACCAAAGGCTTTTTTGAAGTCGAAGAAGCAGATTATGATCGCGCTTAGCAGTAACATCATCAAAGTAGGCAGATGGAGCTTGACCAACTTTTCAAGAAGCCGTGTTGTGCTGGAGTAAGGTGGAGGCATGAAGTAATATCTTTCCTATGACTTTTTCCACAACCCTGGAAACCACTGACGTGATATTGATGGGTCGGTAGTTTTCAATAATAGAAGTTGATCATAATTTGTGCCTAGGGTTATAAACGACGATTAACTCTGAGGAGAAAAATCCTGAATACTGACATGTGTTCTATAGTTTCCCATGATTAGCACATTGATTAACAGTAATAAAAATATAAATTACATCCAGCCAGACAAGACCAAAGAGCTTGGCTATTGTTGTCAGCACGTAGATGACATTCTCGTCGTTTCAATTGGAAACCTGTCTAGGGTACTTAATATCGAGCTCGGTAACAGTGTAAAATACGAGAATGAAAATGCAAGGCAATGAAAGAATATCGTTTCATTATTTTATAAAAAGACAGTTGTGAAAGTTAGTGGTTAGTTGAAATGCAGTTACAGTCCACCGCTGCAAATGATTTATATCACCAACAGACCTGTTCACTGCTGCATCCGACTCCACCGGTAGAAAGTTGTCTGCCTGTTGTGGAAAAATCTCCGGACGAGGCGTTCCTGATTATTTCAAAGAATACAACGCGTGTAATAGTGGGGCAAGATGGCAGTAGGAACTACAGAGAAGGCGAAGTGACGGACAGCACAACTATATGTCCAGTCAAACGCCAAATTTTGATATTATTGACAAGGAAGTCGACTAAACAAAATTACGTATGATCATCCCGCATTTGATACAGCAAAAGCTGTACAGGTTCATTATTTAGGACCCCACTCATCAGTAAACAAGAGCTTCTGAGTACTGTGAATAAGATTTACCCAGCTGTTCGTTCCACTTTTGAGAGAGAGGAAGATAACAGTATATCCTTCCTAGATGTTCTCGTTATCCAGACGATGGATGAACATTTGAAGACAAACCTATCTAGAAAGATCAGCTGGTCGGGTCACTACGTCCATTTTCAGAGTTTCTTTAGTTGAGTCCCTTGGTTATCGATTATGACGTACATGTTCAGACGAAGGCATTGGTGAAGATATGTGTAAATTGAAGCCTACACTACGAGAAAACGGATATGCAGCAAACTTTCCAAAATAGGATATATCGATACCTAGAGATGTGGTAATGACGGACACATAGACAGAGTTAAATTACAAACGGGGGATTACCAAAGACATTCTAAAATGTCGACCTAACAGATCGATTGTGAGAAAATACCTTGTAGCTAAATTGGTACTTAGACAGTAATCGCACAGCGAGCCAAGGAAAAAATTACCAATGATAGTCTCGTCAATGTGCATCTGCGAGTTCAACTGCTCCTATGGAGTTAGTCGCATAGCCCAAACTCAGTGCTCCATCCATGCATGGATGCAAATATTTACCTGTATGACTGATGAGCAAGATGATTACTAGGATCCCCGGTGAGTGTATTGTCTTCGCTGCCACTTCCACCCACGTAATAATCATTATCATAAGACCAGAACACCTCTAATCATGGTAGTCAGTGAGTGAGCCAAGAAGAAATAACAGGTATTAATCTCTAACTGCCAGTCTACTCACTGAGCACTGCATGACTCGTAAGTCCTCCCAGTACACTCCCTCATCTAACAAGAGTACCAATCAATAGTGAGAATAACGTCTGTGGGAGGAAAGCATCTTTGTTCCTATGCACAAAAATAGTCGTCCTCTGTACACCAACACTACCTAATCACGCCAACCTACAACAATAACTGGTCTTCAAAATCAGATGCATAACACAACAAGCAATCACTCGCGATAAAATTTATTTAACTATCACCATGCGAAAGCCCTTCAGCAACCGGTTACAGATAATCACCACCACCTGAAACGAAAATAAAACAAAGCATGAAGTTGCAGCTAACGGATAGTTCAGACTCATTAAATCAGCCAGTTTGACCGACATGTTTACGGACAATGATATTCATCACAAGACCTACCTGGTTCGGTGAAATTGACATCAAACGCCGTACAACAACAAGCATCTGCATTCAATTACCTGGAAGAAAGAAAAGAATCATGCGGTCAGACAGTGCTCAGTCTTAACTTGCATTTCACATTTCAATGTTGGATTGTAGCATCATGCATATACAAATGACAGGTAGACTTACACTTTAGTGACAACTGGATATCGTTCCAGCCAAAATACGTTGGAAGTGAGTCTTTCAGTGTGATACTTAATGTGGCGTAAAAGCAGAAGCAAGTGTCATATGTACACCCACTCCAGCTATCAACCGAAACAGCAATATCTCCGTCTGTCAACCATGGTTGACATTCATTGCGCAATGAATCGATTTGGCAACTGAAATTATTGTCAGTACACCCAAATAGGCTTCCTGTTAGAAATCATTCAATTGGATACAGTGCCTGTGAAAAGGAAAATACACTTGTCACTTCCAACATCAGATAACGGTTAAATCACATCGTCATAGGATTGACAGATTTAAAACAGTAACATCACAGGTTCAATGCAAAACTTACCATAATTCATCATGATGAGTCCGAGAGCAAGTCCTTCAGTAGTTTCATACAGACACCTTTGCAGAACTTTACATTTTCTCGTGCGGTTC